AAAAATAACAACACTTTGTCAGGACCATGAGGCGATCATTCCTACCAACTTTCAGTTCAATCGCCCCAGCAGAACTTGACTTTAATTTGAAATAGGTATTTTCAAAATGGCAGCCATGGCGGCCATATTGGATTTCTGATCGACCCGAAAAATAACAACACTTTGTCAGGACCATGAGGCGATCATTCCTACCAACTTTCAGTTCAATCGGTCCAGCAGAACTTGACTTTAAGTTTGAAATAGGTTTTCAAAATGGCGGCCGTGGCGGCCATATTGGATTTCTGATCGACCCGAAAAATAACAACACTTTGTCAGGACCATGAGGCGATCATTCCTACCAACTTTCAGTTCAATCGGTCCAGCAGAACTTGACTTTAAGTTTGAAATAGGTTTTCAAAATGGCGGCCGTGGCGGCCATATTGGATTTCTGATCGACCCGAAAAATAACAACACTTTGTCAGGACCATGAGGCGATCATTCCTACCAACTTTCAGTTCAATCGGTCCAGCAGAACTTGACTTTAAGTTTGAAATAGGTTTTCAAAATGGCGGCCGTGGCGGCCATATTGGATTTCTGATCGACCCGAAAAATAACAACACTTTGTCAGGACCATGAGGCGATCATTCCTACCAACTTTCAGTTCAATCGGTCCAGCAGAACTTGACTTTAAGTTTGAAATAGGTTTTCAAAATGGCGGCCGTGGCGGCCATATTGGATTTCTGATCGACCCGAAAAATAACAACACTTTGTCAGGACCATGAGGCGATCATTCCTACCAACTTTCAGTTCAATCGGCCCAGCAGAACTTGACTTTAAGTTTGAAATGTAAAATGTTAACGGACGACGGACGACGACGGACGAAAACGGATAGCAATAGGTCACTTGAGCTAAAGCTCAGGTGACCTAAAACATCACAGGTGTAGTCTTTCGCCTTAATGCATCATGTCTCTCAAAAACAACATCCTTGTTTATGTACGCAGAAGCAAACATTTTGTCTATCTAGCACATGTTATGCTATGTGAAACAGAAATAATATTTGGCAACTGTTTGATTAATCTTGTGTATGATAAAGCGACGGATGTTCGTGAGATGAAGGCAGTGTGCGCTGCTTACCGTTCAGATACACACGTAAACAAACACGAATATAAGCAACAGGCTATCATACATTCATACACGACCGGTAAATTATCCTCTAGTGCATCGGAATGTTACGTAATGTTGGTATATGTCTACCGTCACAACAAAACGGGTCGGCGTTGTAACATGCAATGTGATCATTCACTACGGATGGATTTTCCATAAGCCATTTTATTTGGTGCACAGTCGATGTTGCAGTGATATTGTAAAAACCATATTATACAGACAGAATGGCCACCGACGTACAGCGTGTTGTTCCGTATCTCCTACTTTGTCTGTTGGTACATTATGTCACAGCACCGCCACCTCTCCTCGTGGAACTGCGTGCACGGAAAGAGGAAGCCTTTAAAGAGAAATCGACCACACGACCAGATATATACTCAAACCAGTTCTCTGTTGAGACAGAATCTTCGGTTAAGCGATATTCAAATCTTGACCAATTCGATGTGAAAGACGAACTTAAATTTTCGGACGACTTTCTAGAGGATAGTCTTTATTTGGATCCTAAACAGGATGGACAGAAGGACGTTGAACACGACGATTTCGATAAAACACCGAAGGAAACTGGTCGATATTTGGAAAATGAATTGCCTGAGACAGGAACAACACGATCCGTTTCTGATGGTTTATTACTTGAAAAGGATCCCATTGACCTAGATAACCTGGAGGAAGGGGTATACGTGGTGGGTGAGTTCGAACCCCTTTCCCTGCCAACGAACTTTAGTCAGTATGATCTAGATGGTGACGGGTACATTAATCTGGAGGAGCTAAAGGCAGCCACACAGGCTCAGGAAAACGCAGCGTTGGCTTTGCACGCCTCGGACGTAGACGGTAAGCCTTCTTGGTAAACACTAGATAACAAGCTTGTCTTAAACTATAATCAATATTGAATCAAAAGAAACATATTCTCGCATATCGTTTATATTTCGCTAGATTTTTTTTTGTATGTAGATTTCATTTTATTTATCTATTTATTTATTTTTGTTTAAATATTGGACTAAAATTGCAATCATCCCTGATATACAAGAAATATAAAAGGTGCAACAAAGCTGTTATATTTCGCTGCAATTACTAATGTACTACACACCACATCACGAGAAATCCGGTTCTAACCTGTATTGCAGCTATATGCTCGAAAGCAATATGAGAGAAAATGTCTGAAATGCGGGTTGGAGTTAGATTTTATTTGAACGTCATGACAGCGTATACTAAAAGGGGATTATAGATATATGCACAGCACTGTAGGAACATGTAAATTACAGTGATAATGTTATCAGGAAATTTAATACAAATATTTGCTTACCTAGATTAACTAGAGAAAAGGATAGGAAGAGATTTCCAGAACAAAAAGCGTTTTGTATACACATTTTATTTTTAATACAAAGTTGCATAGACTCTAGATAGTATCTATATACATTCATATTACGTGCAGACCATAAATCTGACAGACATAATACGCACTTAACAACATGCATTCAATTTATATTCATTTTGTATAAAGTAATCACATTTCCTGCAATTGCGTTCATTTAATCGAACGTGAAAAGCTGTATAACAGTTTGACATCTAATGTCCGTGACTGTAATATCAGTCTACCATAGTATTCATAGCGGGGGATGTGAAACTATAATGACTTGTTAGGTGTTGCATACTTCAGCTGACGAAACCTGAATTAAATGTATATTAGTGTCAATTGCAGCGCTGTAAATTATATGATACTTGTGCTTTGCTTATTAGCATTCAGATACATGAAATATTTTAATAAGTTATTATCAATAGAAAACTATATTTGATTTCCATACAGCATGGTGCCACATATACAGATACGGTATACAATTTTGCTTTGATAAAATGTAATGTCCGCGTGTATGCGGAAAATATATATAATTAGCAGAGATGGCAAGGTATGTAATGTTATTTAGATGTTTATCGTAGTTTTGAAGCAACGATTTTACAACTATGTACACAACAAGCGAGCTTAGCAGTAACGCAGAATAGTTATGCATGCGTTGCAGGTGCTGTCCAGAAAAAAAGTTTACAATCCTAAATTAATGAGCTTTTTAATATGATTTAACCATGATGACTATCGAATAAAACAAAGGGATTGCGTACGAAAGAAACAAAATAATGATATATGTTTAACTTCAAACTCACACTCCCTCTCATGCTTCCAGTCAAGATTTATAACAACGATCTTACAACAAACACCAAAGGTTATCCGCATTTCCTGTTAGTCCACGCGGATTAAATACAATTGGCAAGTTTCCCAAAAGTACACAAGAATATATCAGATGTGCAAAGCTGGAAGAATTTTGTTAAAAGCTGATCTATTCAAAAGACTTTTTGTCTTTTAACACTAATGAAGAATCAGTTTAAACACAATGTTTGCAGCAGGGCAATCACATGAGCAGTTATTAATATCTTTCCTAACCCTAAATCGTCTGTATAATATCTGACTGGACATGTTTTTGCAAAGTATCCTTTCGATTTTCTCACATCCATAATCCTGTTATCGATGTGTGGTTTCACCGCGTTACGTAAATACCGATTGATGCGTCTACAGCTTCCACAGCTTCCACAATCAGATATAAACATCGTGTCTGTCCTTGTAAAAGATTAACACCTTGAACCAGGTTCATGATGAAATGGACACAACCTTCACAGGCCGGTAGTTAAGGTCTGTAACGGTTAACCGTTGCCAAGTGTAGGTGGAAACATAGCCAAGATTGGAAATACTACCTATATACAGTAAAGGTGTATAATAAAAACACACACTCCTACATACAGTAAAATAACTACGTATACAATAAAACTGTATGCTTCAAAACACTCATTGTATACAGTCAAAAAAGCCGGTTTATAGTAAAATAAGGAAATAAACTTTTATTCAGTGAATTACCCTGCATACAGGAAAATGACCATACATACAGTATGTAACAGTAGAAAAACTCTACATACAGTCAACTGACCCTTTACAATGTACACTAACCTTGTATACAAAACAAATACCATAAAAACAGTCGAAAACCCCTGTATACATTTAAATAAGTTATGTAAGCCTTTATCCAGTTAAGCAACCCTACAAACAGTTAAAAAAAATATACAATGTATAGTTAAATAACAAGCACAGTCTATAACTGTGGTTTACAGTAAATTATCCTTGTCCCATGTCAATAGTGAAGAACAACCCTGTACGGTAAAACAACCCTTTATCAAGTATATTACCGTGTATAGAGAACAATAACCCTTTATGCAATTATATTACCGTGTATGTAGTCAGATTAAATAACCCTGCATGCATTTATAATCCTTTAAAGAATTACATAACCTTGTTTACTGTTAAAACAACCCTACCAATATTAAAATAATAGGTATTCAGTACAACTACCATTCAGTCAAATACCCCTACATACATAAATAGCTATATATATAAAAATAAAGACAAATTGTAATTTTTACAGTCAAATTGCCCTATATACATTCAAATAATTTTGTAAATAATATTTAACATACATTGTATATACAAAAAAAGACCTTTCAGTCAAATAATCTTGTAAATGATATCTTATATAGACAAATAAATCTTTATACTGAAGTCAAATAACCCTCTATATAGTCAAATAATATTCTCAAAAGATACTTTATATAGACAAATAGCCCTTAATAATTCTTACAATCGTTTCTACAAACAAATAGATACGTGTGTATGCTACATTTTTCAGGTGATGGTCTCCTTTCACGCGTAGAATTTTCCGTAGCACCCTGGGTAGTTGGCGATGATCAAATCGAAAAGGACAGTGTATACAAGACAGATGAAATGGACGATACATACGATGACAGATACAACGACCACCCCCACAATAGGGAGGAGATGGGCGAGGATGAGCGCCGCGATATGTACTCGGATAACACGTAGTTAGCATCCGTTTATGTATTGTCTAGGAAGTTTCGTTTAACAAACTATTCGCCCACCGTTTGTCCATGTGTTTGCCCACCGTTTGTCCATGTGTTTGCCCACCGTTAAAAGCTGAACTGTAGAGTGGATACAAGAACCAAAACAGACTCAAGTGCAAAAGCTTCTTGATGCAGTTACGAGCATCATAAACAGACTAGTTGATAACTATTGGTTGCACATCCTATGGCCTAAGCTAACAATAATATGATTCAAATTAATCAGATTAATTAAATGACAGCCTAGGGTTACATCTAGTAAATGTGATCAAGTTAGTGATCAAGAGAACACTAGGTATGTTTAGCTTACAGGTGATTTTGTAATCCTGAAATAATACAATGGTAGATAATACTAATGATATTAAAAGTATCTTTTCATCTGGGATTAGGCAAGTCGAATGCCTATGTGTAGCCAATCTAGCTTTCAAAAGTTAAAATAATCTCAAAGTTAAATATCACAGACTGTTCAAAAGGTCATGCATTGCAGCAAGATATTTTTTTAAAGAAGTAATCACTTACATTTCTTTCGATCGCAAATATAGATATTTCTCAAAATCATCATTAACATATATCTAGCTAAGTATCACTTACAAAAGTGATTGCATAATGTTGTCGAATATCGACGTCTGGTGTAATGCATAACATATGGATTTCCGTGCAAGTTTCATCAAAGAATATGAATGTTAATTCTAGTCCATGTATGTTAATATATAGTTTCAGATTCATATAAAAGCGATAAAAGCAATTTAATCACACAAAAGCAACATAAGATATATACGAGGAAAATGCCTCGACTAAAACACCGTTCAAAAGTGTTATGATTGTCTGATGAGCTGATATCTTTTTGAGAAGAAAATCTCGATAACAAATGCATTTAACAATAACAATGACAACAGAAACGAGACAGTTATGTACACAGAAAGCGTTCTTGTCCATTATTCGAATTTAAAACACAGATTAACTCAGAGATGTAACATATCAACAAATTCCATTGGCAACAATGGTGAGGAGGACGGTATTCCATCAGGGTTGCGACAGGGGTGGCCGAGGTTCTGCAAGTAAACAAAATGGAACGTGAGTCGGACAAGCACAGTAAAACGTAAAGGAAAATATATAAGAATTAATGGAACTTCATTCTGATGTTTGATATCTATGTCAAATGTATATAAGAAGATAAAGACTGCATAAATTTTAAGCAGCGCCGATATGCACAGAAGCATCTATACTAGTTTCAATAATACAGGTAATGACGGTACAACATTTCAGAGCTTCAGATATCTATTGCAAATTTTTCGATACAGAAATAAGAGGAAAAACAATCTGTACATTAGTTAATTATGGTATCTATGCTTCAATTCAACGAATTTATTGTTGAAATAAAATAAAACTGTTATTATAGCAAACGTTAGGCGTTTTTCTAGCAAAATTACTCTTGATCCTAAACTGTTTGAAGGATCTTTAATGAGTTCGGTACTTTGTCCTTTACGAAAACGACACGTCAACATATGACAGGATAATTGAGATATGGATTTCCGTATATGTCCAACTTCAATCCCGTGTTGTTGATGTTTACACGTGTAAATGTATATCTCTCCAGAATCATAGAATGGCAACATATCCTTAAACGACCTTCAATATGTTTAAATTTGCCAAGCCTAAATAAATGTTCATTAAATCATTAATATCCAACATTTGTCAGTGTTAAAACGTACCTTCCAGAAAACTGCACGACAGCGGTTACAGAAGCATAGTTCATTGGCATAGACCACTCGAAGGCGTTTATGGCTTCTGTAAAGCAAAATAGTTTTTAATAATATACATACAAACGTAATTGAAAACAAATGTCATTTATACAGAATGTCAGAGCTATGATTAACATACATTCACAAAATTGAAATGGAATAGTAAGGCAGAGTTGTCGCCCTTCGACCACTTCTTCAAGACAGTTATACACCCTTAGTAAGTCAAGGTTTTTTTGCTGAATTTACTGCTTCAAACGTTTCCAACAAAGAAATTAACTATATAAATGTTAGAAAACTGCAGGTGAAGATTACTTCGAACAGTGTTAGATACACATACACTGAACATAAAACACTGACGAAAGAAACGCTTATATAATTTCCTTTTCAATAAATGATGTGTTGTTCAATGGTTTTCTTCTGTTATTTGGACACAAGTTTAAAGAAACTAGAAAAACAGTTTTAATTTCGATGCCTGTTATCAAAGTGATGGAACATTTTCTTACTGGTAACATAGTTGAAATGCTTTGAACCAATCGATTCCAATGTACTCATCATCACAAATGTACGGATACAGCTGTTTGTCGGTGAAGTGGAACAGACACATCTGTTGCCATAATAACCTGTCCGTGACAAGGTCATGAAGGTAAGAGCATGTTGTGCCCACATTGGCCAGGTCCCGAGGGTCGGAGAGTCGTTCCAGTATGTAATGTAGACACTCCTTTGGGATATCTAGAAGTTGTGGCAGGTCATCGTCCTCTCTCTGTATTGGAACAAAGCTTACGTTTAAGATTTGCCGGACACAAATGCAGGAAACGAAAAAAAAATACAAATTAACTTAACATGAGCAAAACGATCAACAACATCAAGAACTACAATTACATGAACAAAACTAGAAAAATAGGTACATCGTTAACAGTGATGCAATGATTATCAAATGACATGCATATAGGGGACAAAACAGCAATAATAATGTACCAAAGTCACCCTTAAGAGCTACATTGTGAAACATCTTTTTCATTACGTAGATCGGTTCAATTAGCGATAAAAAAAATGTATGTCATCATTCTTATCAAAACGTACCGGTGGTATAACTTCAACATAATGTTTTAAATACAACGCATTCTTATCAACTATAAGTGTATACAGAACAACTATAAGTGTATACAGAACACGTATCTGTACCTTCTATGTACCTGTGTATACTGAAAGGCTTCTACTTGCGTTGCCAGGTTACTAACGATGTCCCTGTGCCTCTTCCACAGACTTCTGCTGCCAGTAGCTTTAGACACGTCACTTAGAGAGTTGGACGCTTTCTTCAACAACCCCTTTATCAAGCTGATGTTCGTCTCATTGATTAGAGCTGTACACACACACACACAAAATAAAAGATAGATATGTTACAAATGAACAGCTTGAAGTAATTTCTCTATATGATCTGAGTAATGTTACTTTACAATATATATATATATATATATATATATAGCAGCATAGTACAATATATATAACAATATATATCTGTATCACTACATCAAATGTTTTCGAGGAAATACTGCAGCTATCGCTAGATTCCATGACTATATACACATACGGTATGGAATAACTTTACATTGATATAAATGCTTGGATTTACACTATTCTTGAAGATCTTTTCCGTGAATCGAAACGAGCCTTTCTAAAGAATTCTGTATTCTAAGTACAACGCTAAAAGACACTTATTAAAGTCTTAATAAAATAAGGATAATCTCCGATGAGAACCTAACACCTTAGTCCGAATTATTCTGACGTTTTATCGACTTTTTTTATATCGGTCTTTCGTTAATCGACGAAAGACCGATATAAAAATGTCGATAAAACGTCAGAATAATTCGGACTACTAACACCTGTGCTATGACATGTCACTTATAGTCCTACAAAGTGAGAGAGACATGTTACAAATTAGAACGGTTTCATGTTGGCTGGCCCCAGTTTAACAGACGTTCCTCAACCTCAGTAAAGGACAAGACATCATTATGTTTTTACCTAGATTTACATGGCTGATTTCGTCGATGCATAACGAGACACTTACATTCTGAAACCACCTCTCCTAGAACACGAAAAATCAGTCTCAGTGTTGTGCCGCTAATGTTGCCGATTTTCTGCTCAAACAGAATACCAAATATCTGAAAAGGGAAAGCAAATAACTCCAATGTAATGAACAGGCACACATTCCACTGCATTTTTAGGTCAACTGAACTAATGGACAAATAACACGGTCTTAAGTTTTGTCGACAATGTGTAGATGTTGGTGTTGGATGAATAAACTGTTATCGGTTGGCGTTTGTGGATCACAAATATTATTACATGAATGTATCAACATAAAGAAAAGTGACTGTGACTTTTAACTTTCAAAACAAGTAACACAGATATAAAGATTTTGGTGAGGTGAAAATGTGAAGAAAAAGAAGGGACAGGCAGATATTGTTATAAATAACCAACCTGACAGCAGTACCGGATTCCACTAACTTCCAGCGTGACATCGGTGATCTCTAAGCGTTCAATGGATGTCGACAAACCACATGATATTCTCCTCTGAAAAAATACACAACGGACGATGAAGTCGAAGTTCTGAGTATTCATAGAGTGATCAGAGTACCGTAATCTACTGTGCCTATTGCCGTTCCAGACCTGTTTTCATTCTTTATAAATATCTGGGGTTAACAACATCGCAATATCAGTATTTAGATCTATATAGGTGTTTTCATACATGATATTCCCCTTATAACACAATGCAACTGGTAATTTTGTCAATATTTCATGGTTTGCAATACTTTTCATACAAATTCAATCGTTCACAAAATGTATTCACGACTGATCAAAGGTTACGGTACACATGTATATGCAATTAGTCCGACTTTTCGTTCTATTTATCACTATATTTGCTAATAAATGATAAACTTTAATAACGAGCACCAAACTAAACGAAAATGCATAACCAAACGCAAAAATAAATAACACAGGCAGAATCACATGCTGCGGGAGTGTTAACGTGTGTGTCATGATGTCTTTTAATTTGCCAATTCCAGTAAACTGTTTTACACATTGCAATTTATGGGAGATGTTAGCTATACAATATTTGATGTGAAATAGCATTGTAATCTTCGGTGGTACAGTGTATAATGCCCATTTACGTAACAATCGACATTCAGGACAAGGACTATACCTACATCTGTTGCAATACCCTGTATTCCTGTCAGGTGAGGCTGTCGGACTGGTATAAGGCTGTCGCACCTTTCTTGGCTGGTGCCGTCATGAGGTCGACTGGCGCCCGCTATCCTCCTATTTGCACAAAACATGCCGCATATTATCAACATGCATTGTTTTATACACCAATTAAAATTTATTGTCTATAAATATTTTATTTGTTTTAAATCCGCAGCAATAAAGAACGAGAACGATATTGTAAACGATCAATATATAACGAGCACCATTAACAAACTGGTAGCTGTTCCAATTGACCTGTGTCGCCATGCAACACCGTATGTATATACGTATACCGTTATTGTTGTATGGTGAAAATATTATAGTACAATAAATATATTTATTATTATACATGGTTTAATATGGCCCAAAATTAAGCACCTCCTAAACAGAAAGGTGTACTTCTTTAAAACTTTGCCGCTTAATTGCAGTTTATATACTGTGTTTGGCCTTCTACTTAATTTCATATGCCCCCTTACTTTGTATTTTAGTGATTATCTACGAAAGAATGTTCCGTTGTGATTAAGGCTTAAATAACACGGAAGTAAGTACATGTGTTCGGTCAGATAGATGCATCTTCTTATAGACTTCTGCAACGTCTATCCAGTTATCAAGTGTAGGAATAGGTAAACTTGTAAAGTATGCTGACAATGCTTTTCAATTTGCCTGCGCTTTATCAGCAGCAGGGATAGCAAACGTACTGGTATAGAAAACTATTTTTAGCACGTGTAAAATTTACTACGCGTATGAAAATATTCCAGCCAGATGATCGTTACACACAAGTCTTATTTGAATATATTTATTTCTAAAGCTCAATGCCTATGGATAATTTATAACAAATCATGCAATAAAAATTCATCAAAATGATAACATTGCCTAATCAAGACTGCTGTTAAGATGGAATTCTAATGTCCCGATCTCTAGATTCTATAGATTTATATATATATACTTACACGAATCGGACGGTGTTGTTGGACTCTGTTTTCGAAGTTTTACTTGTTGAGCGAGAGCCCCGAGCTCTGGTCAAAACGGAAGCAGATGCTCTCTCACTCCCTGTACCCACAAACACTCCAGGTAAAAGCCTCCATCCATCTTCAGTTCTTCTCCAATTACTCTCAACTCCGGAGTACATCTCTTTAGTCTGGCACATATCCATTCTACTTGTACTGTGGAAACCTGCTATTCACTCGGTGGGTTTTTACACCTGATCGACGCTGAGCTCCCGGTCGATTAGCAGGTGTGTTTACAATCTGTCAAGTCCCACTTCCATATTTGGTAAGCGGAACTAGGTTTTCAAACCGCGGTAAATTTATTTCGGGTTTCTGATTGGTCGAATTTAATACTCCAAACCCATAAAAGGTAATCAGCTCTGACCATATAAAGGCAGTCGTATAAGGCAGACCTTGAGCTGTAAGTCATATCTAAATATATATTGTACCATCGAAATATAAAAATAAACATTACAGCTCACATTATTTCTTTTAAATGTGGTTATTCCACATATAATATAAAAGTTTTCACATAAAATTATATTAACTAATTGCAGTGACAAAATGAGGAGTTACTGAATATATCAGAAAGTACCTGTATTCACTGCCATACCTATGTAGACAAAAAAGCGCACTGACCTCGAACATGTCCGTAGTACTTAAACACATATAAATTATATTAATTACATGTCACAACTGAATTCAAAATCGGTCGTTGTTTTAATAGCTGTTTTGTATAAATCCAGATAAAAGTGATAACAACACACAGTTTAAACTGTTAACGTGTTGGAAAATTAATGTAACATGATCAATTTGTTTGTACTTTTAATAAATAGTGGTATCAGTCCAATTGAAAACAATCTTTATTATTGCAGGATGAACAGCCGTCGCCCTTGAGGTACATAACGTGTAATCTTGATAGTCACAATCGTCTTTTTTGAGAAGAGGCACGGTTAATGATAAACACTTTACTCAAAACTAATTTAAAATTTCATTTTTTGTTCACTGATACTTAAGACTTATGGGCATTACCATCTTTTTAGCCTCTTGCATCACGAATTTATATTTATTACCAAAGTTTGGCATTTATCTATTAAAAAAAATGGCAGTTATCTATAAACAAATTTTGGCAGTTATCTATTAACAAATGTTGGCATTTATCTATTAACAAATTTTTGCATTTATCTATTAACAAATTTTTGCAGTTATCTATTAACAAATTTAATTTGTGCAATCACCTTATTTGTTACTTCCGACTTTATATGAACATGTTTTGGCGAGAGAAACAAAACTGCTTTCAAGAACATGTTTTAAACTCTGTCCATTTTCTACTGAGTGTGTGCGTATAGTGTTAAGGACATCAACACTGGAATTTGGGTTGTCTTTTACACTTTTAAGTCCATGATATGTTAAAGGCGTTAATAAATTGCCTTAAAAACGCGTTAAACATCTCATGTTTTGTCCAGAAGTATTATTCGCAATGTAGCCAATTATTACACATTTTGGAACAGGAACATTGATTATAACCAAAAGCCACTGGCTCCATAACCTGATAGCTTTTTTGCCATCATCCGGTCAGCTTATTTCGAAAAGAAATGTGTTCCGCTTTCGTATCGTTCTCGTTTGGATCTGTCGTGTGCGAAGACTTACGTCATTTAGAAAATCTGAAATCGTTCGACTGACACATGGCGTGATGTGCTTGAATCCATCTTCATATTCAAATGGCAAGTTTTGCAGCCATATTTAGAGAACTGTCGGAGGTAAGTGTAATATTAGCACGCTTTGTCCATAGATTGTGAGGTTTCTGCGTTTTGTATGAAGGCAATAAAGTCCTCTTCTTCTTCTTTTAGAAAGTTCTTTTGTAATTTTCGAAATTCGTATATTTAGAGATTCATGCACCTCCCCCTCTGTCTCAACAGTAGTTTACACAAATTTGGACTTCTACATTTTTAGTCACTAGTATCACTCGAGTCAAAGAATGACTTAACAGCTAGCTGTATGTGCAGTGCACGTCATTTTTGGCTTACTGTATCTATTAACAAATTCGTTAAAGTGCACCCATATGTGTGACTTATTTGATAATTTCTTTATCGTTCAAGATATGCGATGGTAGACTCTGCTGGTGGATTTCTCGGTCCCAGAGGTTTGCCGGTCACCATAATCTGTTTGAGTAGTTTATGATAAACACTTTTTACTAACTTTTAAATTTGAATCAACCAGCACTCCTCAAATTTGTGAAATTCGTATAATTAAGGGGTTTTATGCACATTCCCTTAAAATGATTTCTCGATTTCTACATTTTGTTTCTGGAGGTGTCTCCCTAAATACATCCGTCCTCACATGACCCTGGCTGACCATGACAAGGACGGTACACTGACCACAAATCAATAAAAATATTTAGACCAAGCGAAGAACAGTAATCTTTATAATCATTTAACGCAGGAAATGACTTAAAAGAAGATAAAATCTATAAACATCTGATCGAAAATCAAAGCGGTGAACTTAAAACGCTGTCCATTTTTCTTGTTACGTTCGTTATATTTATAAACAGTTAAATAGACCCCTTCTACTCGTAGTCGATACGATATTGTATCGCAACATTGTTGTTTGCTGTTCAAAGCGACATTCTAAGGAGAAAACTGTTCTTAACCCATCTTATTTTTGTCACTATAAAAAGTTTTGATGTTATCCGTGTCATTATAAATACTAGTATATTGATTAAACTTACTCAGATAATTCTTGTATATAATTTGCATTTGAATATATCAAACTTTCTAATGGTACCATTTACCAAGTATGTTAGTCGAGTAAAACTTGTATAGTACTTGGACTTGCACTCTTGAAATCATATATGGGAATACTGTTATAGGGATATGTCCGTCGTCTAATCCTATTTCATGTTTGTTTATATAAATAAAGCTTTATCGGATATTAAATTGTCCATTTCGTATATTACCACTGACAAATCAATATGGCTTGATATGTACAAGATACAAGACACTTTATTTAGAGTAGCATACATATAAACGAGAAATATTAGCTCTTGTGAGCCATTACTTGACAGATTTATGTATGGAAACAATAAAAATGTATCATTAGGAGGCCTTGTTTTCATGCAGAACTCTCATTCTTTTCGTCCTATTAGAGATGGGGTTTTGTATGAAACTAATATAAGACGCATCAAAGTAAATATGCAGAAATAATATTTCCTTGTATGTCGTTGAACAGCATTGGATTTATATATTTAATCAATGAATGCCTAGTCTTTGGACCAGTTGTTTACCATTAGAATTAGCTTAACAAATCGTTAACACAATATTTTTAGAATGTGATATTTGAGAAAGTTAAAAAATACAAATTACAAATAAGAAAGTGTTAGCTGCCATTATTACTTTTCTTGTTTGAAATTTTACATTATGTTGTCATTAAGCTAACCAGGCGTTGAACTGGGCCATATAGGATAACATGTTCCAAGCAGTAATCGATACCTGGTTATCCGAACGTCCAGTAAAAGGATCCGGTGTATAATAGATCAACATATAAATTGTTTACAGGTCCATATCGATTGTCATTTCGTACTTTTAATACTTATACCAACGTGCACATAAGCTTTCTTGATATTTTTTTCCTGATAAAGTTAACAGCGTCTAATTAGTCTTCGAAACGTCACGAATGGCTGTGCTTTATGGACCGGCATACAATAGACCAAAATATGTTACGAAACAGAAAGAAATTATCTATATATAGTTTATTTCTCGTATTTCCCGGATATGGACTAATGTATTGGACTCGATTTCACATGTTTTTTCTTATTCTTGTTTTCGATGATAAGTTATTTTAGAAGATGCTTTATCGCGAGCACCACAGCGTAAACAGAACAAGAACTTCTGCAGCAGTAATATATGTACACAACAACCAACTACAAACATGTTGAAGGACTAATGCTCTTTATTATTGTCTAAAACAAAATGTTCATGACATTCAATCAGTAATTATAGGCGTGTAAGAATCGGTTAACATTATCGTTCAAATTGCAATGGACACTTACCCAGAGCTCCGACTTACCTTGTACAAGTTGAAGCCTCCTAAGCTGGGTGGTCACCATTTTCAAACGTCCATCCTACACTTTTTCGATGCCTTTGAACACACAATGTGATTTTTGATGGCGTTCATGAAGTGATCAGCGGATGGTGACAGAAGACCTGACACGTACGTATGTACATGTATTACGTGTTTCGGGCATCTTTAGGTTTTCCACACCGTCGTGTTTCGTTCGCAAGGATCTGAAGACTCGAGACATGATATGTATCGATCGACTTTATGTGAAGAGTATTATTAGAAGTTAAAATAGAGGTTCCGATACTGTTATCCAGGGGTAACGCTCTATGTAGGTGAGCATAACCCCTGGTTATCGAGGATGGATACGGTTATTGTGGACTTGTTTTCCGACAAAAATGCAATAACACCGTATGCACATTAAAAACTCTAAGTAAAACTCTAATATTTCTCTCTATTATGGTCTCAAAATACATACTATGTGTTAAATTCCAGGTCCCTGAAACGTTGGGTGGTCCACCAAGGTCTGCCCTCTTCAGAGGCCCAACCAACATATTGCACAAGTTATCTCCCTTAGCATATGTGCTAAAAGGTCGTACACAAGATATTAAAAAGAAAATGTTTTTAAACTTTTTCAATGTCCTTATACAAAAACTATAAATTCACTACTTAAATACATCAGTATTAGTCATAAAACTTTTCAAATTTGCTTGAATCACCTTTGAACTGAATATTATTTAAAATGTCTTTCAATCTGATGGGGAAATAGAAACTCAACCTTTCATTTTAAGCACTTAACAATTTAAGATTCCGGCAACAAACCTGCCTTCCTGGAACAGCACTCGCCTTATGCTGCTTCACTTTAGCCTTGACTTTCACATTCTTCTTGCTTTTTCAGTCCACACGATCACAAGGAAGTCACTTGAATCTATAAAAGTTCCTTTTTTCTCTCTCTCAAATATTCAGTGTTCGTTAAGTCTCTACTGGATAGTTTTGTATACATATATGTAGTTTTGGCAAAAATAATTTGTTTGCCCTTGGCCAACTTATATGTGAAGCTACCCTTACAAGAGTATAATTACAGTGTGTACAGATAATATTTTGAAACTATTTTCCATTCTTGTCTATTTTGAACTTTGATGCATTTGTTTAGCATTTCTCTCGAATTAATCACATTTTTTAAAACTTAATTTACCTATCACATATTCCAGAAAACACCCAGTAATTTATTCTCTGTTCCCTAATAGGAGTTTGATTTCTGTTTATTCTTTATTTTTTTATTTATCTACAAAGGGGTATATTTATATTAGAAAGGCATTGGAGAACATTAAAGGAATGTGCCAATGAAGTTTGGAAAGGGTTGACATGCATTCATTTTCTCAAATGAAATATTCTCGGCTTGTGTACGTACAAAGTATACCTGTCTGTATGTTATGTGCAATTTAGGAATGCTGAATTCATGTGTTTTAAAACAAGGACCTATATATCCAAATGCAACCGAAACCGGCTGCCTGGGCGATTCTTGTAAAAATTTCTATGGATTTTTTAAATTGTAATATTGTTTATTTTGAAATTTTATGTCTGCATGCATCATTCACACGTATATATATGCAGTGTGCCATAATAAGAACACTGATATTCAATTAAAAAAGTTCAAAAAGTGCTTGATTTTGTGTGTGCTATTAATTCTAAATGTCCAGGAAACTTTATCGAAGTGATGCATCGCCCAAATAAATGTTGATGTTTTCAAAAAATAGGTAATGGTGGCCTTCAACTCAAGGTGAAATATTGAGCAAACTCCGAATTAAATGACTGCCAGCTCAGAACTATATCCTAAATAACAATTTGTGTTATTTTTTACTTTTTCTTTTTTTTTTCAGACTACTAGTTTTTGAGATGTAAGGAATGGTATATCACATTATCTAGCACTATTAACCCTTTTACCACTGTAGACAATTATGGACTCATCCCTATCAATACTTGGTAGAGTCTTAGACAATTATGGACTCATCCCTATCAATACTTGGTAGAATCTTAGACAATTATGGACTCATCCCTATCAATACTTGGTAGAGTCTACAAAAGTTACATAGGAGTGAAAGGGTTAAAAGCTTCAGGATTTGTTATTTTTTTTTCCCCTTTAAAAAAAAAAAAAAATGAAAATGGCGCTGCTCAAGCTCAAGCTATATGCAGGCATTATATACTTCTTTGATATGTGTGTCAGGTTTTGGTTAATGTAGGTCAACCTAGCTTTAGCTTGTTTTATTAATTTCAATACCGTGTTCTACTATTTGAGAAATTATATGTTTTCCATATTCCACTAAATGTTGCGTTACAGAATTTGAATTCAAATTAAGTACTTAGTTATTTACTGATGTATGATTGCATGTAACTCGTCTCGAATAGTTCAATAGTACAGTATAAATAGCTCATTTTATAGTGTTGATAAATATGTTTTAACATGACGTGTATTTCAATGTTGAATTATGTATTTATGTATGTATTATGCAGCGAGTTGTGACATAAATAAATAATCACTTTGAGCCAACCAATACTAGTGTTAATGTCCATTTTAGACAATGATAAAAACGATTTGTTTTAGCACCTTTCTGACAAAGTTAGTTTCCATTTACGATCAATCCATTTGAAGATTTATAGTAAACAGCTAAATTAGCAAAAGCAGGAAAATATTCAGGAAATCAGAAGTGTTGAAAAACAATTGTACTTACTCAAGCAAAATCTGCAAATACTGGTACATTTCGTGTTATAAGAGGTGGATATTTCAAATGTAACTTTTACAGATTAGCAGCTATATATATATATTATTAACCAACACACATGTACAGGGGTCTGTACTTTCTTGATAGCCAGGGGTAACACTCACTTGTGCTCTCTGCACCCCTGGAACATGTCATAGCACAATTGAAGGCATCTCCAGTAACAAAACCTGACTATTCATTAGGCCGATACCCATCCTTTGAAGATTACAAAGGAGGCAACACCTGACTTCAAAGTCTGTAAATTTTTATGGTTACGGCATAAGCGACTGTGATTTTTTTTATGTACATCAAAGGATCAAACTAGTCTTCTCGGGCCATCCACAAGGTGGTGCACACCGAGCCTTCAACTTTGCTATGACTTATTCCAGTGGTGCGGAGAGCGTAAGTGAGCTCGAGTGTAACCCTTGAATATCGAGGATGATGGGGTCTGTAATGTTGTATAGAACCATGAAATGATTTTAAATGGCTTACCGTTATCAAATGGAAAAGGTAGATACCATAAGGGATGAACATTACAGACCCCTGTGTTTTAACGATATAAATTTTTGAAAATCCCAAAACCAATACTATAACCAGCATGCTGTTGTTCCATAGTAAATGACATCTACTGTAACTGGGAACGTTGTAATTCACAAAATTCCTTTTTAAAAATTATCCAGGAACTTGATGGGAAGAAATCTTCACCTTGAAGAAGTCATCCTTTTTCTTAGGCACAAGCAGAGGATGTTGGTTTGTTTTTAGATGGATTTCGAATAATGCACTCAATTCTGTCTACATTGCAAAAACAGCTTGGGGTAACCACATCCATGAAAAGCAGGGATGATTTTACACAACTGAAGCCAGACTTGTTGAGCCAACATTTCACTAGCTTGATGTGTACAAACATGGGAATACACAAACCCTTCGAAATTTCCTTATGAATTTTTTCCGCAATCCCATCCTTGGTTTTCGAATGGAAAGCACATTCTCACCAGAACTTACACACTGGAGTAGAATTCTAAACTTCCAAACACAAAGAACTTGTATTCAGGATGAATAGAAATACACTGTATTCTTGACGCAGCTCCCAAGGCACTTTGTTGTTACGAACACTCAATTAACACCAGTGTTTTGTTACCATGCCGGCGTTGTGATGATATTGCATTTTGCAATAACGACACTTGAAAATATTACCATACTACAGCAACAATCACAATGATGAATAAGGACTTCGTGTTATTGATGTTTATTCTATCCTAAAATAGTACAATACATGCCATTATTACACAGACTTATTGACACCAAGTAGAATAACCAATTTTCACGGCCAAGACATTTCCTCCAATCTACACAATCTTATTCATGAGAAGCACACGACGTTCAGTTGTTTTTATATACACTTTTCACAAATTCTGTACACAATTTCTATACATGACTTTGTATGCACAAACACAAAATCTCCAAGGATTTAAATGGAATTCTCCAATTCAAAATCAGCAGGCATAGGAGAGTTCCTTTTCACCGAAGAGAAGAATTCTTGTATAAGAACTTACACAAATAAACTGTTTGGAATAAAAAAAAACAATTACTTTGGAATCAACACTGCCAAATTACTGAAACAGGCCACAAGAATCACTTCCTTTTTCACTTAAAATATTTCACATTTAAAATGATGACAAAATTCTCCAAAAATTGAAGCAAAATTTGAGAAATCCACCTTGGAAACTGTAAGAGATTTTATGACTTCCAAAATGTTGCCAAAAATCTGAAGGTGCACTTCCAAATCTCACACTTAAAATGGTTGAATTTAAAAATCAGCTCCCTTTTTTGTTGATTTCTCAACAGCCCACTTTTTTCTATTCTATTCCATTTCTTTTTCACTCCATTAGAAATATAAAACACATATCAAGCAAGGAATCTTGTTGCTGAGCATAATTCTTGGCACAGGCATGGCACAACATACATTATAAGATCACTTTGAAGAAAATTTTCAACACAAACACACAATATGTCGAATATGAAACACTTTTTCTTCAAACCACAATGTACTTCATCACAATAGCTAAAACACAAAATAAGATTTCTTCATTAGAATGCTGGTATGTACATCTCAGAAATATCTGAGGATTGTCATCATTTCTTTTTCTAGAGCAGTGTCACAGGCTGGCACACACAATAATGTTTATTTCACAGAAGGTATTGGATGGTTATGGTTGGATTTCAGCTTGGGCACTGATCGATTATCTGAAGATGACCGATGGCGGCAGGGTATGCACAAGACAAAATTTGTACATGAAAGCACACAAAAGGAGACTTCCAAGCATAGCACTTGATGGCTGCAGACCACTTCAATTACACTGGCCGAGGTGTCACCTCCATGTTTTGTTGAACAGTATATTCCATCAGCAGCAGTCTGAAAAGGATAAAGGAAGATTTCTGTCAGTTAATAACTTAACATTCTGTTAAATGTTGTTACAATTTATAGTGGCAGGTATTCATTGTGACTAGAGCCTTTTTTACGAAAAACTAAGGAAACTTAAACAGTCAGAACACAAACAAAGAGTGTCATAGCGCGTTGGGGAACAAGGTTTAAGTAAAATTGAAATACATATGACGTCGCTGTTAACTGAATGATGTGGTGTTAATTTAATACTTTTCCAAACTGTGTTACTAGGTCTAAACATTCTTGAGAAATAGGGAATGAACATAAAGTTTAACTCTGCATTCACATTTGAACAACATCATCATGTCGCACATATGTTGTATCTCAAAAGAAAAGGACTAGTTGCGGTCGTAATAATGTATATGTATACATGCAGACAGGGTGATAACAGATTGTGTTCCACGTTTCTATAGTCTATATATTATCTAGAATCACTTACATATCAGCTGTGCAGCAGGAACTGTCGTAGAATCATCCTCATCTTTGGGAGACAGCTACAGACCCATCAACAACCTGCTGAATTGCTTTTAAAATATTGTTACTACAAAATATATCTTACTTCATTTGCACTAATTCAATGTTCCAATATTTCAGAAATGAACTAAATCATACATCAAAGTCTTCATTGATTACCAAATAGCTGAACAACCACTACCAAAGCATTTTCTACAGCTTCAAAATAACAATAAATATTTGATTCCTCTAACAAACAAATGAGGGAGCTTTCAAACAAACAAAAAATGTCAATAACAGTCTTCAATGAAGAGGTTAGTAGTACCATTATACACATTTTCGATTTTCTACTTCTACAGCCAGTATATGTAGTGTACCATTGCAGAAGACTAACATTCGATCAAGATTTTCCAAATTTATGTACAGTAAATTCTCCGAGACTGCATTCACATCAAGTACTTTTCAGATTATAATCAAGATCTTTCAACAGTGGTAGGTTGTCATCCAATATCAACAAACAGTAAAAATCATTTATGAATTATTATGTAAAATCGGTATATTTCATTATTTTCCTCTTTCCTCTTTTTTTTGCAATTCAGATGGAATTTCCATACATGTCAAATGACTACAAACTTCACTTCATGATTGTCAATAAATTAAACAATGCATTACAAACAATACAGAACCCTCCAAGTGGTGCTTAAAAATTGCAGAAATGAAGTCGCCAGTTAAAGAGCAATGACAAAAATTCTATAAATAATAATACCAGGGTAATTAAATAGTGATCAATTTTCTGTAATTTATAATTGTGACCATAACCTTGACATTGGAACTCTGAAAAATTAATAGTTTGAGTTTTTTCTTACTTAACCAACAGGGCGTAACTTTTATCAAATTTCATGCAGGAATGACAATGAAAGTTGCTAGTGATGTTCTTAAATAGCAACAATGACCTTGGCTTTTTCACCCTGAAGAGCTCATTCGTTCAAAGTATTTTCATATTTTATCAACATATATAAGATTGAAATTCTTTCCAACAGGAATTCACTAAGAGTAATAATGATTTTCTATAGATACTGACAGTGACCTTGACCGTGTACCAGTGACCTTGACACCTTGATTACATCCTCTAATTTATGGTAACTAAATACTTGACCAATGTTTAAGTTTGATTAACATTCTTCACTAGAATGATGACACAATGTAAACATATGAATGGAATACAACATCCCCTCAACGACCTTGTCCTAAGGTATCATTAACCTTTCAATTTAAAGATTAAATCTGAACAAATTACAAGTACAGTACATGGAATTTATATTAAAACTTGTCATATTTTGAGAGGTCATTACACATTTTTATCAATTTTAATACTTCAACACAAATTAAATATGCTGCATTTTCAAAGTTTCATATGGTAATGAACGATGGTTTAAACATGGATTAATTAATCACTATCACTGATGAACAATTAGCTGCATTTAAGTAAACTCGTTTCACTTTCTAATTAATAATATCCAAATATAATTCCTCAGTAAACAGATGTCAATTTAAGAAAAAAACAACTCCCCTGAATTTCCAATAAAAACCAGTAAAAAAAGAGCAATTTTTAGATACTTTAGATCAGATTTGTCAAGTAATTAGCCTTTATATCATCGGATTTAAAAACTGTAAAGGCAATTTAATTTTGTACTGGTCAATTTAAGAACATTTAAAAACAATACAATATTCATGTAAATGTAAAAGTTGTAATAAAAACGAAAGGTAGATATTTTACACATTTGTAAAAAAAAGCAAGGATGGACTGTATTTCATTCAAAATTATCTTGTAATGAAGTGTTGAAAAATACCTAAAGCAACATAATGGATGCCCCCCCCCCCCCAAGAGCAATGACTAAACTAAATATTGGTTGATGAAAAGCTATGCAGCACCCCGGATGACAACAATGACCATGTAGTCATCCTGAACTGCAGGCTCTGGAGGAAGTCTGGGTGCCTTAGTCATGAGATAATCATATCCAAACTGACAAGGTGGAAATGCGTACAGCACACCAACATTGTCCTTATCTTTTGAGTCGTAATTTGGAAGAGAGATGACACCGGCTGCATCTTTCTGTCGCAGATATGTCACCAAATTTTTCAGAGGTCTTTGTTGCACTGAAGTATCTTCATAGTGTGGAAGAGAACCACTGAGAGCCAAAAGAATACAGTGACCACGAGGCCCAGCTCCAGTCACTCTTCGGCCAACATCCTCCAATTTTGGTTGGTCAAGACGGAGTCGCTGCTTGACTTTGAGGACAGGTGTTTCAGTTGTTGATGGGTCTCTCATCATGTTATCAACCAAGGTCACATTACCACCAACCACATGCATTCTTGCAGGAAATGCACTGCTTTTCAGAATCAAAGCACCATTCCATGCTGCAGGTAAACACTTTGACATATCTGCTACCGTTTCTACTGTCTCCAATGCCTTTTCAGTTTCTTTATCCCCCTGGGATATTCTCCTTTCATCAAAACGTCTTGAATCACCTCGGTCCCCATCACTAAAGTCTCTTTCTTGCGAATGCATTGGACGACGTCCATTGTCTCTGTTTCTCCCAACATCTCGATCTTTTGGGTCATATTTGTCCTCCTGGCTTTTTGAACGTTTATGTTGTCTATCAATGAATTCATCTGGTGTTCTTGGCCGTCTACTTCGGTCACCTCCCTCCCACACATCTCTTCCTCTGTGTCCCTGGCTGTTGTCCCTAGGATCTGAATTACGCTGACTTGGGCCTCTGTCATCCAATGGCCAATCATCTCTGTGTTCACCTGCTGGACCTTCATACGGTGGACGCCACTGTGGATTTCTACTTACGTCTCTCCCATCCGGAGATGGTGGATCATTTGGTCTGGGTGAACTGATGATATGGCTTATATCTGCAAAATCAACCCTCAGTCTTCTGTTTAGATCACCAAAAGGAAATCCTCTCATTTCTTGACAGGCAGCTGTAGCAGCATCAATGTTGTCGTACAACACATATGCGAAAGTCTTTCCATGTGGCCATTCAATCCTGTCAATCACTCCAAATCGGTCAAATTCACGCTCCAATGCTTGATGAGTTACCCAAGGTCCTAATCCACCTACCCACAAACATGTTGTAGGTGTCACTTTTCCATAACCAATTTTACACTGAAACCTCCCAATGTACTGTCCTGACATCTCTACCTTTGCTTGATGTGCACAATCTAGGTTCATGTACTTCAAAAATGCATAGGCATTTCCTTGTCCCCTTTGTGGTCTCTTCACATCAATGTCTTCAATTGCACCAAATCTCTCAAAAATCTGTCGCAGTTCCATCAAATCAATGTTGTAGTCTAGGTTACCGACAAACAGTGTTCTTGTCGCTTTAATGTCATCTTCAGGGTTTATGTGATCTAAATGATAGGGAAACTTTTCATTTGGTGCTTTTCTTGAAGCACCATCTTTTTGAAATTGTGGATCAAAATTATCCCTTTCCATTGATGTACTCATTGGTGGAGGCATGTTATCTTGGTTTGAAATATATCCACGTCCCATATTCTGACGTCTGTTAGCACCGCCTCTTCCCATACCTTCGCCACCCCTCCCTCCATACTGCATAGGAGGCGAGTTGTGTCCGTAACCACCTTTACTGGGACCCCCATAATCTCTGCCCATGTCATTATTTGGACTACTGCTACGACGCCTATGGAACACTGGATCAACACGAACTGGACGGTCAAATACAATCAATTTCGATTTGGCGTGTTTAGCAGCTCTAGCATCTTCAGGATACCGAAAATTGATGTATGCAACTCTCTGATCACCCGTGAAAGTAACGTTCACATTGAATTCCCCAAATTTCTTGAATTCGTGGTACAAATTATCTTTCAAAACAGCGTCTGGTATTTTACTCGAAATGTTACTCAAGCACAAAGATCTGTATTCTGGTCCTCTCACCTCCGACCTTGCAGGCCCAAATCCGTCCCCCATCCTATCGTGATATTTGTTACCTCTAGACATTGGGCCAATATCATGATCAAAGTCTCGGTAAGGTTTTGGTTTCGGCTCGCGTCCCCGGCTATCTCGCCTGTCCATGTCTGGCGACATTCGGTCTCTAGAGGATTCATGATCAAGTCCCGGATACCCTGAGCGTGATCTTTTACTCCTGGGCGAATTTTCGCGATCTTGCATACGTTTCATTGTGGAATTTGTAACTTAATTGACTGGTTTTTTTCTTGAATACACACCGAAATTTCTCAGACCGCTGGCGTCGCCATTTTCATATAATTACTCCAGTCGTATTCATACGCCGTTTCGACAAATTAAACATATTAACAGTAAACGGAAAAAATATTATCATTGATATATTAAACAACCGTGATATCTTAATTTACACCATACCACTTGTCAAACTAAAATTACATCATTCTCTTATCAAATTGTATGTTCAATAGATATAGAACTATATCTTCAGCAGGTGCTCGCATTAAAAACTGGAAAGGTTACCTCCCCTTATTCGTAGACTTGTTCCAGTCCCTGTATTTGAGCACAAACAAAGGATTTTTTGTTTATTAAACTTAAGGGCTAAACAATATCCTAATGTATACAAGAAAATGTTTTTTGTTTTACCTTAATAGCGATAAAGAAGGCGACTTTGAGTATACTGAACTGCATGTATTATTATTTTTTAATATTATTTTCGAAAGGATCAGATTATATTAACACAGAGGAATCAAATCCGGACCAAATAACTGTTCAAGTATGAAATACTTCAAAACCAAATAGTGTTACATAGCATTGCATCAATACAGCTTTATTTTGTCACTATAACGATTACAGGAAACTGGTGGAAATGACGAAATACCGGTGTTCTGATGCTTTCGTGCTATTTTAAGTACAAAACGTCACTTCCGACGACACACAGACAGACTTTTGTAGTTTCTCCTTCATTAGGAGAATCACGTTGTTCAGTGTTGAATGTACTGACTTTAATACAGTCAAGATGATGATGGGAGACAACGAAACTAGGAATTTAAAACCAAAAAAATACCCGATAAGTGACGATTACAGAATAACAGGGGCCGTTTTGGGCCTTGGGATAAATGGAAAAGTTGTTGAATGTTTTTCTAAAAAAACGAATCAGAAGTGTGCGTTAAAGGTAGGATATGTCACCCAAAAATATCAAAACAGGATGTTAATAAGTTTCAATGAGCTGGGGTTTTTTACTTTGTAGTTAACTGGAATATTTTTGGTCCTAATGATTAAGAATAACATAACCTTAATATAACTATCGGGTAACCAGATAGTCTTTTACATTTAGGAATGTCACGCCCACAGCCTCCAATTTCACTTTCTTTTTTTCATAATAATTTCATCAATTGTCTGTTCATATTTTTGACGTCTTATTCGAATCCATCAATGTCCACGATTACTCATGATTAATGTTCCTTTCTTTTGTTATCTACATGCTGTTAAATCCAGTTATGAACCCTGATTAAACAACAGGAAATTGATTTAATTCCTGCCATATAACAACATTTTATTTTTCTTATCTTGATAACATTAGGCCTAAATTTTATTTTGATTTCTATCAATGTTTCAATGTTGTATCAACAATGTATTTTGGAACTTAACCAGATTAATTGGTTTAATGCCACAACTGCACAAGTTCTCTGAATTCTTTCTTCAAATTTCCTCTCCAGCAAAATTAGGTTTTGAAAATATATTTATTTCACTCTCCTTAATGGATTTGGAAATTTGATGTTTTGTTTTTATAAGATATAGCTTTTTGGAGATCTGTTTCTTATTAGAATATCACAAACTAAACAATGTTTATTTGCAATCTCTCAAATTCATCAAATTGTGATTGAGATGCTATTTTAAACTGCACCACACCATTTGTAATTTGATGCTTTATAGCAATCAAACTTTATGTATTTCCATAGGGGATATTTTCTGCATGTTCAGATTTACTGTAAGGAGGCAGGACCCAAATTGGATCACAAATCAGTTGTAACAATGATGTCACTTTAGAATAGATAGCCATGCACCTTTTTTTTGTCTACAGATAATTAGTTTTAAGTTCAAATAGTACTAGAAAATGTAATTCAAACTCAAATGTTGGTGTTTTGTTTACGTTTTTAGAAAATGGCACATGTGACGACTGTATTCTGTTTTGTACTATTGGAATAAATTCACCCTATAGAAAAATTGTTTTCGCATAAATTCCAAAGGTCATCATAAAATGTTAATATGCTGACAAAACATTTTCATTTGAAGTGATAGACACTGCAAAATTCAAGCCTTGATCCAATTTGGGTCCTGACATTCGCAATAAACGGAACCGCTGATAGGTGAATTCAGAGCGTTATAAAAATATTTCACATTAGCCCCGGGTGCTATTCTTTTTGTAAGAACACCCATCGATATTCTTCCTTTGATACAACCATAAATGAATATAATACATCCTCAGAAATTTTGTCTCACAAACCCTGCCTGTTATTATCAAGTTTGCTTTATTTGTTCTGTAGGTGTTGAGAGATGTGCCAAAAGCAAGAAGGGAGGTGGACCTCCACTGGAGAGCATCAGGCTGTAAACACATTGTAGCAATTACAGATGTGTACGAGAATGCCTACAGTGGTCAGAAGTGCCTGTTGGTGGTCATGGAATGGTATGATATCAAAACGACTAGTCTTTATAAAAATAATAAGTTCACGCTTGATATTCTATTCATTTAGCCCACTCCATATTTTTCTGTCATTCAGGAGATTTGTCGAGAATAATTCCAATTCTCATTTTACACAGTTTTTGATGGTTGAGGTCTCCTTGATTTCTCACTAGCAAACTTTGGTGTACAAGAGAACCAGAGGGAGGGTACAAATGTATTTAGTGGTCATATATTTCAGTGCAGCTGTTTATAAGAACGAATTTTCCATGATCACAATATATAACTACTTCAACTATGTCATACTATATAAAGGTACCAAGTACATTTCCAGATATTTATATCAGAAAATTATATTATATATTAGGTATTATATCACTTTCCGAGTTTCGTTGATCTGTTTCAAAGTTATGAACTGAAGCTGTTGAAATATCGTTAACACTGGCTTGTTTTACAGTATGGAAGGAGGGGAACTCTTCAACAAAATACAAGAAAGAGCCGATTCAGCATTTACAGAAAGAGGTATGAAATTGATGTAGATAGGTTACCAGGCAAGACATATATTACCTAAAGATTTACCTTTACCTAAAAGTTTGAAAAATATATCGGCAAATCATCTATTGTTTCATGTTGAAAATAGACATCATCAGTAATGGTTTAACTTTATAACTGAATTTGAATATGCTACTATATAAGTAACAGGATACAATGTAAGTATAAAAACATTCTTAATGTACAGATATTACACCTGTGTGAGATTGATATTCTTGCAAAGTGTATAAGAAGCAAAAACTACATTACATACCTATATTCCTTTTCTGGTGTTGAGTGGAATCTTTATTCATTAATGAAATGTACTCATTTAGTGAAATGTCATGTAAAAGACTTAGGTGAGGCAATAGTATTATTACGGTTTAATGTAGAATGTCATGTCAGATTTATTACTAGATGTAATGGAAAATAAAAAGAGTGGCAAGTTCATATTTGAAGCTTGACAATGCATTATGTTCCAGTCATACCTATGAGAATTGATATCAAATGGGTTTTTTTTATGATAAATATATACCAGTAAAGAATTCGGTAAAAGACATTTGTATGTGAAGCGTATCAAATGTTGTTTCTGTCACAGTAAAACAAACCGTTGCTGAATCCAGGATACCTACAGGTTTAAATTGTCAAATTTAAAATAACTGCATTCGTACATTTAATGACATGATATGTGAAACATATATATGGCAATGATTAATTGAGAAACAGCGACTTGTGTTGCAAAAAATTGTGATCCCAAGTCTATATGTGATAACTAACACTGAAAAAGACTGCAAGACCAGTGCTATTTCTTCATTCATTCATTGAATGACATTTTCATTGCAAACATGCTTCTTCTATAGCTAATTTCCTACTGTATCATGACGATACTTTTTATGCATTTTGGTTTGTTCCTTTTAATAGAGGCAGCTGCTATCATTCGTGACATTGCCAAAGCCATCCACTATCTACATTCCTTGGAAATAGCCCACCGAGATCTAAAGGTATCCACAAGCTTATTATGACCTATTGCAAAACCATTGGAACAAACGAAAATCTGTTGTATGAGAAAAGAAAAACTCATAAAAAGTACATTTTGTATCTTCACTTGTTGTCATAATCATGTTCCTTGTCTATATCATAAAAAGTACATTTTGTATCTTCACTTGTTGTCATAATCGTGTTCCTTGTCTATATTTTATTATTTAGAATACCCTGCTGTATTTTAATGGAGATATTGCAATATAGGAAATAGGGTTCATATAATAAACAGATTTTTTGGAGGCCTTATGTTTGAGAAATAATTTATGTGAGACATAATTATGTACCTAAAAGTTTTCTCCGACATCGAAGCAATTTCTATTTGAGTCAACTGAATCTGTGAGGTAAAAATTGGACCTATAGAGTTCTCCTGATATTAGAGACTAAAGTCTTACATAATGACATGGTTTATCTAAGTTTTGAAAGAGGTATGATTTGTTTATGCAATAATGATTTGATTTATTTTACAGCCTGAAAACTTACTGTACTCAGACAAAACTGTTAATGGAACATTGAAATTAACAGATTTTGGTTTTGCCAAAGCAATCACAACAGACTTTAAGATGTTACAAACTCCTTGCTACACACCCTATTATGTTGGTGAGTACATTATTGTAGCATATATATGAATGAATAATGTTATTTGTTTGAATACTGTAAACCAGTGTTTATGGAGTTCATGCTTTTCAATGTATCTATTGTTGTAGTCCAAATTATTCTGACGTTTTATCGACTTTTTTTTATATCGGTCTGTCGTCGATTAACGTCAGAACTCCGGCCCTCTATGATATGTGGGAAATAAGCCACCCGCGCCCGGGTCGCACATCAAACTGATATTTTAGAAACAAATCGTCACTTTCACACACATGTCGCACATGGATCGAAAGATCTATTCTTTATGCACAAGATGAACATAAATTACATGCCTCAAACAACCAATACAATCATTAAAAACATTTTTTCAAACTTTACACTGTTTTTTTGATAGCCCCGCCTTCTAATGCCACGTGACTAAAATCTCACCGGCCTACGTCATAACGTTCGGAAATCCCTTCGGTAACACGAGATCCCGTCAAGTCATGTGACATTGCTCATGCCCTAATTTCCATTAAAAACATGGGTTGGTATAGAAAACGTTGGAAAATACTGGTCGTAATGATCTTTGAAACATGTTATTGATACCACCTAGTGCATAAAGAATAGATCTTTCAATCCATGTGCGACATGTGTTTCTAAAATATCAGTTTGAAGTGCGACCCGGGTGTGGGTCGCTTATTTCCCACATATTATAGAGGGCCGGAGTTCTGACGTTAATCGACGACAGACCGATATAAAAAATGTCGATAAAACGTCAGAATAATTCAGACTGCTGTTGATGATGCTGATATCACATTCTGTGGAAGACTGTTTCATAATTTGACTACTTGTGGAAAATATATTCTTCCTTTGCATAATAAGTTGAGAAATAAAAGACTTCAGAGTAATAAAAGGCTTCATGTATATTAAAGCTAGACACCTGTGTTAATTTGTATTGTACGTTTTATGTAAATGTTGTCTGTCTTATTTCAGCCCCAGAGGTACTTGGTCCAGAAAAGTACGACAAATCCTGTGATATGTGGTCGTTAGGTGTTATCATGTATATTTTGTAAGTAAAACAGATAAACGAGATATATTATGTATTTAGTACCAGTTCACCTTCTAGTTCATTTCTTTTTAAGTTTTGTTAAGGCAGTAACTTTTCAACCATACAAATAAGTGCAAAATAGTAAATAAAATTCTGTACAGGAAGGTTTTAAACAATTGAAATTCTTGATGAAACTTGAAGAATACCCACAGAGGTGTACTGTATTTCAATTACATCTTGGTCAATAATTCAATAGCGCAATAACAAATATGGCCAAATTTAATAGGGTGAGACACGTTTTTACACAAACAAATTTCTAGCTGAAATTTTGAAATGCTTTTTTTTTTAATTGTTTTTTGCTCAAGGTTAATTATCTATCTTTGAAACTATCCAGTATTTGTCATATTGAAGGATTTGGTGACCATTTTTTACGGATCTGATCAAGTTGAAAGAAAGTATAGCTGAACAGAAGATTAGGAAATATTCACACATACATCACTTACTGCTTTTCATACCTCCCCAAACTAACACTGGTACACTGTAATATGAAATAGCCGTTATAAAAACATTTATATACATTATGATATATGTTTAGCACTTAAATTCATGTTGTACATTGGGATGTGTCTAGGAAGTTTCAAGTGTTACTTTAAGACTTTTAGAATTGTCATCAATTGTGAATATAGGGCCATTTAAATATCGTCAAGCATTTCTTGCTAAACACAACAGGTTTGCAAATACCAGGTAATATGGAAATGTTTGCAACGTTTCAGATTTGATAAGTTCTAAAATACATTTATATTTTCTAAATAAATGACAATTACAAGTGAGTGTTTTACAACCAGAAAATCTTTGGCTCTTTCAATCATTCTGTTAAGAACCCCTGTCCCACTGCACAGCCAGTTTTTTCGGTATACAGTAATCTCCCTTTAACTTCAATTTCGATATCACTGTAAGACATCTGGACTTGACACTTCCGTTGACCAGATAATACAATCAGTTACAGTGAAAGTATAACAATCTGAGGTCCAGGGTTCGAATCCCAGTCTAGCCCCTGCTGAATTTTTACATTCAGAGCAGCCTTGTTGATAATATTTTGTTTATTTCATCATGCCAGAATAAATAATTTCAAATTATTTGTTACAGTTTTTGGCAGTGGTACGGGGATCCTTTAATTGATCTGGGATCATTCATAATGTGATGTCAAATGAAAATGATGACAAAAATTCCTGAATGTTTCCGATTGACCTTTGTAACCTAACAGATCTAATAATCATAGAAAAGTTCCCACAAAAATGAAACCGTTTGTTCCAATTAAGTAGCTGAAGTGTGTTTTGTTTTCAGATTGTGTGGGTACCCACCATTCTACAGTAATCACGGAGCAGCTATTTCACCTGGTATGAAGAAGAGAATCAGAAATGGACAGTATGAGTTTCCCAGTTCAGAATGGAAAAATGTGTCAAAAGATGGTATGCTATGTCAGTTTATTTAAATAAAAGTCGTCTGTATAAAAAGCCTTGCTTATAACTCAACGGATACATTTATTCAGCCCTTATGATGAAGAATTAATCCAGTATGCTGGTATTGGATTAATATTTATCTATGCCTCAACCTGGTAAAATTGACAAATGTTCCTTTATCTTTACTATCAATTGGGTTCTGAATCATTATATCATCATTTTAATACTGAATGGTATTTAAAGAAAATGTTTTTGACTTTTTGACATTTCATCAGTGATAATGTTTTTACCAATTTTGCAGCAAAAGATTTAATTCAAGGCTTATTAAAAACTGTTCCCGAAGAAAGGTTTTCAATAGAACAGGTCATGAGGAACAAATGGATATCAGTAAGTCCTTCTTTTAATGCATAAAAGCTTAATCTACTAAATCAATAAAATACTACAACCAAAGCTTAAAAGTTCATTCAACATTTCAATCTTTTATTCTGAAATTTTATGTATCGAGCTTTAGAGCTACAGTATAAATGTAAAAAGAATGGAGATTTTGCATGGTTTTGACGTGAATACCCTTTAAGTTATGATGCTTTGACAGAATTTTCACACATGTTCAAGTTTTGATCAAAATCTGAAAATCAACATATGGCCCCTGGTGATAAGGGCCACTTCTGTGGAATTCTTGTTTAAACATTAAAATACAAAATAAAACAAAACAAAAATTATATTCTAATTGATTATGCTACGGAGTCAATTGCTAATGTCCACCATTTATCTCCTAGGATCACATAACAGTGCCCCAGACACCTCTCTGCTCAGCAATGATCCTCAAGGAGGATTCAGAAAATTGGGCAGAGGTACAGGTAAGTCTCTTTGACTTTTACTCATGGTTATTGTATAGGTAGCAGTTTTCTTGCAAATAATATATTAAAAAAAAAAAAAATCTGCAAAAAAATCTATGGTTTGATAATAATATATGTTATTCGTGCCATTATGTCTATTGTCTGAACTATGATGTAAAGTCTGTAAGGGAGTGGGCTACAATTTTCACTAAAACATGGAACAGATCATGCTCTACCAGGGGGGGGGGTGGGTATACTGCTACCAATGTCCATCCTTTCTCTTTCCCTCCTGTCACATCCCATCCAAACTTTCTGTCATTGCTACAGTAATTTCATTACTTAACAGATGTTGATCCAACTTTATACAAAGGTCAAGTATGAGAATATCTTAAATGAGTTATGGTTCAGGTTTCCAAGATTAAGGCAGGTCAATGTTGCTATTATTAGAAATATCTCAGTTCAGTGCAACTTCGTTTCTTGACTGATTTTACCAAACTTTTAGAAAAAATCAAGAATTAGAATACTTGAAATGAGTTTGTATTTCAAGAGCTAAAGTCCAAGGTCCAGGACACACATTACAGAAAATTCATAAAAAAATAACAACAAAAAATAAAAAGACACTGACTCATAGGTGTGTAGGCATTCTTATCTGACAAACTTGTATAGCATTTCAGGGATGACATCTTGAAACTTAGTATAATTTTTGTAAGATTTTTTACGTTAAATTAAGATATCACATTTCCCATACTTTTTATGGTTTTATTAAAACATTTCTTCACATTGTCCATTTAATCAGATTGCCCACAGAGGACATTTTCCAACGGGAAAACGTAATGTGAAGCATGCAGTTAATATGCAAGAAATTAAATTATTGATAGTAAAGTTCTACTTGCAACAATCAGATTTGGTTTCAGATTGGCTATTTAACACAGATATAATTACCACTAAATAAATAAAGTTTATTTCATTTTAATACATATCACTTTTGTTATAAAGTGCCTACCATGGGTCCGTGTTACAATGTCTATTTTTTTTGTTATAGGAGGAGATGACCAATGCTTTGGCGACCATGAGAGTGGACTACGATATGTGCCAGATAAAGAACTTAGATGAGACAGATAACCCCATTTTAAAGAAGCGTAAGAAGAGGAGTACAGCAGAACCAATGTATAACCAGTCTTAATGAAGAACTGTCACACTTCAGGGGAAGCCCTGTAATCAGAGTGTCCTATACATTGAGAAATTCAACCATTTTGAGACAAATGGTTATGACAGTATGCAGATATTTCATAAGGATAATGTCTGCTGGAGTTCAAGGAACTCTGCATCAGTGATATAGGTATTTTATACAAATACATAAACATTAATGTAGTGAGAATACTACATCAAGTTTTAAATATTCATTTAAACTCTATGATAATATTATTTTGACATAAGTTGTATGTTTTTTTATTTTTATTTTATAAAACAATGTAAGAGAGAGAGGGAGTAATAAAATTGTCTTTGTTCAATATTTACTTTGAAGCTAACATATAGCTATGGAATGTATAGAAAGTATGTATGTGGAACATATATTATTTTCATGTTTTTTTGTACAACTTGTTGACTGTATGATATACTGTATATTAAATTTTGTTTTTGAGACCAAATGGCACTTTAAAATTAGGAGTTGTCACCATAAGAATATCATATATATATTGCCAAAGTTGTTACGTACTGGTTTGTTTGATATGTTAATGGAAAATATGTTGGACGGCAAAAGTAAAACTGTCCCATAGGATTGGCGATGGTCGAACTTCCCTGTTGCTTTAGAGACCTGATGTATATATATATATATGTATGACAGAATTCTTTAAGTATCTTGTAAATGTAGAAGAACTTACTTATAGAGTTATCAGAATTATTTAAGTAACACTTACTTTTAGAGTTATCAGAATGTCTTGTAGTATCAAAAGATGGTACACGTCATAAAAACATTTGATTTGGTATTACAGTCAGGTTGGAATGAAATTGTTAAGGATAGTCTTCTAATACTGAACTCTGCAGACTATTTCAGAAAATAATAAAGTAGACAATGAAGGGCGTCGATCACAAAGTTTACATGGATTTAGTTATCATTTGTTTTTGTTTAATAAAGGATTAATCATAATGAGTGGACTATTAAATACATGTATGTTTTAATATTGGGTCAGACAATACGATACATAGCCATTTTACCAATATGATACATAGCCAATTTACCTGGTGAGCTTACAATAAACAATGATGGGATCACGGTTGTTTTAACTTTCGTTTAAATATAATTGTTTCCTACTAATCTTTTGATTCAGAATTTTGTTCTGTTATTAAGTGTTGTAACATGAAAAAAGTTGTTCATTCGTAAATCTTTTTGCCACAATTTTGCGGTTTCAAGTAATTCCGGGTACAATCTTTTATGATTAGCAACGAAAATAATTACGAAAGGATGAAGTTGTTTTGCACAATAATGTTGCAGTCATATAACACAAAATGTTAATGTAGACAAACTGAGTAATAAAATCAATGTTGTAACAATCTGATGGGTGAATTCACAATTGTAGTCACCTAACCAAAAGGTATTATACCCTAGTAGAAAAACTAAATAATAAAACCCGATTTGTTTTTTTTATTATTATTATTTTTAATGAATACCCAAAACTTTTTAGGCAATTTTTAAAGAAGCACTGTTTAAGTCAAGGTCACTCTTCTATATACACCACATAAAATTATCTTAAGAAATTTGTTACCTACCTACGCTTATTTTTTAAAAGCTTTTACATGAACACACTTACTTTTTTTATTTGGCCATGGTGAATTCAATTGTAATCACCTGCCCAAGGGGTGTTATAGTACCCTATGCATTTCAATAAGTGAATGCTTAGCAAATTTAACTCATTGGTATTGAAGTCCTGCTCTTACCACAAAACCTGCAAAGATTCATGGTATCTAGGACGCTTGGAAACAGGACACAACACAATTCATTGCCTAGATAAGCCATATTTGGCTCAGTTTCTACAAGAAACTCAGTAAAACAGAATACTCAAATGAAATTTACTATCAGCATTTAAAAGATTTCTTTTAAAAAAAATGGCTGGTTTCTTGACCGGTGAAATTACTGGTATTTATTACCAGTATGCTATATAGTACAAAAGTGACCTTCAGCATTTATAGTTCTCATTGTACTGATAAGGTAGAGCATGGCTATCAGATTGTCTGGGGGTTTTCATGGTTTTTGTGTAGCACAGTAACACACCACTGGTATTACAGATATGTATCACTACATCCATCTGCTACGCAGTTTAGAATGTCAATAAAAGTTTTACAAATATTAATCATTTTGTTTTATCAATTTGTTGAAAACTCAACAATATTGTTTAGATGAGGATTCACTTGTTTCACAGTTTCTATACTTGTTTAAATGAGTTCTAGTACAATGGCAGATTTTAAGGGAGAGGGAATTACTCATTTCATGAAATTACCCATTTCATACGAGGTTTTCAATGACCCATTGAGAAATGTTTATTGAATATTGCCTACCTCTTCTTTTAATAAGTGTCGCAAATTTGCCGATATAATCCATGTTAAGCAAATTTCGTAGTATGCGCGATCCCCTAGACACTTGCGTTACCTAACGCATGTGTCAGAAACTAAATCTTAAATCTGCCGTTGTAGTACACTTTGTGTTGAAATTTTACGTGGGATATGCAGTGCCAATATAATATTGTATATCATCTTACACCTTGTACTATTAATGACATGCATACATGTTACTAAACAGGAGAAGGAATAAAAAGGCAACGTCTTAAATGGTTTGCTTGTCATTTGTGTTCATATGCAAGTAGAGGAATTGAACTTCTTTTCCTAGATGTTTTATTTTGGTTGCAAATATTCTATATAAATGAACCTCATGAATTTGTCACCCTCGTGACATTTGGTAGGGAGAGAGTCCCATCACTTTTCTACTGCACATAGGCATTGAAATGTTATTTTTCTTGTTAAATTCATATTATTTTCTTTATTATTTGTACAAACACAAAATTTGCCAATTATTCCCAGTAATGTTGCAGAAAAGAATTTCCAAACAGCATAACCAAGCACAGTGGATACGCAGCCTGCTTCATAATCAAGAGGTCTGTTATCGACTCTGTATGGCCAAGTATAAACATTTCTATAAAAAAGTTACATTGTATAATAAAGATAAGACAAAAAAAACAAATTGGAGCTATTTTACTGGTGGTGCCAACATGGAGCATCTATACCTTGAAGAACTATTAACCCCAGAAATTTGTTGATACAGACAAAATGGCTCAAGTTTGACCCTGCAAGCTGGGGAATACATGTGTCAAATTTGGTATGATCTTATAAAGGTAAAGGGGTTATATGTAGGAATAAAGATTGACGCCATATGTATTTTCCAACTTCGGAGGTAGATTCTCTTTTTTTCACCTTGCATTCATTTTTAACTTTCGATATCGACAGAACTCGAGATATCTTACTTTTTTTAGTTAATTTATATCGTAAAAGAAGTTTTAACTACAGTTTTTTGCACTATATACTTTTTACTCTGTTTAAAAAATGTCAAATGGTATGTCTTCCCCATAAAAAAAATTGGATGGTTGGCATGTGTCAGCAATACCATTGATTTCACCAGACCAGTGTACATATGAATATGTTCGGACAAGATTTTGCTGTGTGGGTAGTGTACAAAGATGCACAAAGTTGTTTTCAATATTCGTTGTTTTTAGGCAAATATGATGTCAATTCAATCTACTTATTTGCCTTGGTATCAATGGTTTATTGTTGAGTAACAGTTATATTGTGATGGCTATCAAAGTGATAATTACAAGTGCACTTAACAGGTTGTTTTAAGCTGTAGTTATGTATAATTTGATTGATTACCTAATAGTGATACATTTGTATGGACATTTTTGCCTCATTATCATGCAGTCCAGGCCGCTAACCAGGATGATACCCATGCCATTATCTAGGCTTCTAGGTATCCCAGGCCACCTACCAGTCTGGTATGTATTCTTTAGGTTTATACTCTTCTATATATATATAGGTTTATACTCTTCCATATATAGGTTTATACTTCTATATATAGGTGTATACTCTTCTATATATAGGTTTATACTCTTCTATATATAGGTTTATACTCTTCTATATATAGGTGAATACTCTTCTATACATAGGTTTATACTCTTCTAGGTTTATTCTCTTCAGGTTTATACTCTTCTATATATTTTCAGAATAGATGTTGAAAACAATGTTAACACTGCATAGCATTTGATCAATCAGATTGACAAATATATTTGTAGTGTCGCACACCTGATATTAATATATAATAACATGGCATGCAGTTTTGTTATTTCTTAATTTAATTAAGAAGTGTTTTCCCTTAAACAATAAGTCACAAGAGTACATAAGTGTGCAAAATACCTAGTAATTTAAGGTGTTCAGCTAAACTTTGATAATCTTCAGACATTGAGGAACTTATGAGAATATATGGAGACCTTTAAACGAGTAAGGAGAAAACAAGGTCACTGTAGCAAATGAAATGAAGGGTGTCATAGTTAGGTTTGGCTATTTATCTGGGGGGGGGTTCTGTGTATCAAAATAATGTCTGAAAAGATCATCTTTCAAAAGTTAGTATAGTACTCTGTATTAATAATCAGTTTTATTTATTCATTTAAAGAGTTTAACTCGGGGATATTCAGTTCAGGTATTGCAACAATTAAATCATCTTGATTAGCATTTGTAAAAACCTCAACAAGACTAATATTCGTTCTTATCTAAGCTGTCTTTCCCCTACCTTATAACCGGCAAGCAATCAGATTTCAATGAGCGTTGATCAAAATCTTTCATAAAAATCATTTAAGTGTCCATCAGACAAAACTGTAAAAATAACATTTTATGATGCTTGCATTTGTTTGCTTTTCAACAAGCAGTGAAAACAATGTGGAGGTTAAGTCTTGTTTTAAAAAACCTCATTAAAATATGTACCATTACAACATTATGCAAGTTAATATGTACATGTACAGAGTACAGCAGTATGCTTTTCTTTGAGCAAGTGTGTGTGTTTTGATATTAACAATTAAATCAGGAATCAAATAAAGCTATTTGGTTAATATAAAAGTTTCAGATTCATCTTGGTAACATTTGAATATACAATCTAAGTGTATGACCATGGGCATGAATAGACAGGTACATCAATGATATCAGGATTTGCCTTGGAGTCATGTCCCAACCCCAAGGTATGGACTGCGTTCCTGGATCATAACATGGAAAGAGTTAGTTGAGATCCCCAGCCCATAACAGCACAATTGCTGGATATGAATAGATGAACACTTTGTGCTACTATGATTGGCACTGGGGTCCAGCCCTAGCCTATAAAGATATTCAAAATGCCTAGAGATTGGCCCCGCGACTTTGGATTAAGTCCCGTAGTCATGACATGAAAACAGTCGAGATTCTCTCCCTTTAACAATGTATACCTTCGACAGTTCCATCGGGAAGAGATAAATTCACTGGTGCTACCAGTATTAGGCATTTAAGGGTCTTGCCACATCCTTGGAGACTTAGTCACTTGGGTATAACATGGAAACTGTTGATATTCCCACATGAAAACACAACTGCTTTGCTTGAAGAGATGAATACGTAAGTTCATGCTACCATGATTGCCCCTGAGGACTTAGTCCTTGGTCCTTATTGGATAGTGGAAATGGTTAAGATCCCAATCTTATAACTATATGTGTCAGCTTTCTGGGTATGAAGAGTTGAACACAATCATGCTGCTGTGATTAGCTCAGGGGTCTGGCACTCCCCTTGTGACTTTGTACCAGGATCTTTATGTGGAAATGATGAAGATCTCCACTCTATCACCTTAACAAATATTTACAAATCAAATTTTCTATATGAAGCATGCATCCTAGCATGGCCCTTGGGACCTGGGAATCAGCTGTTGTATAAATGAAGAGTGTAGCCCCCCTTTGGAATGAGGTTCAGATTACAAAACAAAAAGGTGGTATAATGCAGATATACTTTTCTATTAACATTTTATTTGCAGCTAGGCTCTTTTATTTTCTTCTTTTTTTTCTTTAATATTTAATTATCAATCAGAAAAAATGTTACCAATAAAAAATATTGAAAGAAAGTAATGACTTTTTGTGACATTCATTGGTTTGGCAATACTAATATATTAAGATTACATGTATGTACCTGATTGTTAAAATGATGTGTGTTACAGATACATTTACAATGGACCCTAAACCTTATACGGGCTGAATTTATCATACAGTGTAAATGTTACAATAATCATACCTTTAGTATAATTAATTAAGATGTAAGTCTATGTTATATTGAAAATTGTCCTAGATTTTGAATCTAGTTATACAACACTGTTGTCTAATCATAAATTTATACTATGTATGTGCTACAGGAAATAAAAATAGCTGACAAAGGATTGACGTCTTTCATTAGTTTTATCCACAGGTATACATTACATCTCTTAGAGTAAAGGTCCAACCCTACATATTATACCTATGATTTGTGTAAGAATTACGATATTTGGATAGTTGGTTCCTTTCCTTACACATTATACCTGTTATTTGTTTTAGAGTTGTTCTGTGTCCAAGTTACCAGTACCATACATGTATGTCTAAAATCATTAGGAGGTTCCAGAATTTGTGTGCAACACATTGGATGCATGCTATGATGATTACAAGATACATGCAGATACTTTAACTCACTCAACCCTGAAGTCACATTTGAACTCTTCCAATTCAAAGTTTGGAATAATTCATTATAAAATTTCAGGGCTGAATGAGTTAAACAGCATGTGACATGTTATAACTTAAATAGGCAGTGTGACCAACTTCATTTTATTAAATTACCAGTTCCATTACAATTATGAATGTGTGGTTGAAGTTGAGATACAAGAACTTATGATTTAGTTTAAATTGATTAATCTATTGAAACTCCTGTAAAAATTAAAGAAGATTAACAAAACGTTTTGTGAACAAAATATTTCACCACCTATCAGCCAATATGCATATTTGCTTTGTATTTATTTAACCCTTGACCTGAAGGTGATTGTCCTGGTGGTCATTTCATGAAAATATCTTCAGAGTTTTAAAATTAACAGCCCAGACAAGATTTCACACAAAAAATGCACTTATTGACTTTTGACCTGAAGCTGAAGGTCATGGTGACCCAATTGATATGAGCAGCACACCTTTGACTGATGCAGATATATTTCCGATATCATGAAAATATATTTACAGTTTATGGTTATGACCTGGACAATATTTTGCTAGAAATGTTGAACTTTATTTGACATTTAACCTTTGGTTAAGGTCATGGTTACTAACTTGCAGTGCACTGTTAGCTGCATGCCTCAGGTACACTTCAAGTTTAATAAAAGATATCTGTCATGATTCAAAAATTAATGCTCTGGAAAAAATTCAGTGGAAATTTTACACTTTTTTAGCTCATGCATGCACCTACCCAAAGGGGCTAGTGAGCTTATGCCATGGCGCTGCGTCTGTCGTTCGTCAACTTTTCCTTTCAACGACTTTCATGAAAAATGTACATGCTATTTGGATGAAAGCTTCGTTGGTAAGAGTAAGACAAAGTTTGAGAACGAAAATGACCTTGACCTTCTTTCAAGGTCACAGGGGTCAAATGTGTCAAATACTTAAATGACTTCTTCTGAAGAAGTTAAAAGTATAGAATCTTAATGTTTGGCTGGTAGCTTCTTGGGATTGAGCCAGACAATGCCTGCGAATGAAAATGATACTGACCTACTTTCAAGGTCACATGGGTCAAATATGTCAAAAATATCAAACAACTTCTGAGGAAGAACCGAAAGGCATGGAATCATATTATTTGGCTGGTAGCTTTTTTGGATGGAGTCTGACAAAGTTTGAGAACGAAAATGATGTCAACCAACTTCCAAGGTGTTAGGGGTCAAACATGTCAAACACTTAAATTGATTTAAATTCTTCTGAAAAAATAAAAGGTGTAGAATCTTAATATTTGGCTGTTTGCTTCTTTGAATTGAGCCGGTCAAAGTTTGAGAATGAAAATGACATTGACCTGCTTTCGATGTTATGGGGTCAAATATGTGAAGCACATCAAATGACTTCTTCTGAAGAACTGAAAGGCATAGAATCATACTATTTGGCTGGTAGCTTCTTGCTATTAAGTTTGTTCAACATAATGTCCTTGTTTGACTTTCAAGGTCATTGGGATCAAAACCTTTAAGCAGGTTCTATTGAATGACTTTTAGTCGAGACACTGATACTTTGTCTGTAGCTTTATTTTAGTCCTCTTTAAGGTTACAAATGTGATATTAATACCAGGTGAGCGATGAAGGCTCTTGTTTAGTCTTTGGTGAATTCAGGTCAAAGTGACATTTATTATTGCTTAGTGTACACCTTCTGGGGATGATGAAGGTATATTTCCGAGTTCTTCAAAATAACTCTTAAAATTTACGGCCTGGACAAGATATCATTAGAATAAACAGATGGATCAGAATGAATAAAATGCCTCCCTTCATTTGAAGGGGAGACATACTAAATATCAGGAGACATGGATAGGATAAATCAATTTGCAAGACATGAAAACTATTCGTAGTATTGTCAAAAACTTATAATGCCACTTGTTTTATCAGAGGGGACTCCTCTGCGAGTCTGTGTCAAACTGTCCCGGAAAATCTCAAATATCCCGTCGCCTATAATTCTCATATTTTGCATGTTAGATGGCAGAGTGTCACATAATTAATTGGGATATTGTGCCTCGCTAATTACAGAGTTGTTGCCCTTTTTCATCATGAAACACTCTGTCGACAGCATATCTTGTATACCCTGTAACCTTATTTTGAATGCGAGTTCTTCTTGGAATGGCAGGTTGTTGCATACTGAAATTTGGTCTTGTCCCAAATTTTATACAGAGTTATTACCCTTTGTTCACTAAATTACTTTGTCTGGAGCATATCTCATATACTTTGTCAGCTACAATTACTAAAATCATTATGCAAGTACAGAGGAGAGTGTTGCATGCTGAATCAAATCGTCTTGTGCCCCACTACATACAGTCTTGGCCCTTGAAACATTTTTGAGTCATATTGAGGCAATTTGTTTTAATTGGCATACAGTATGATAAATATCAAAGAAATCATGAAAAAATACTTGATCATTGTTATAAAACACTTTTATTTCTCATTTCATATCTGATATTTTCCATCTATTCAAAAGGTAACCAATCACTTCCTTAATTGATTTTTCATGCATACTCTTTTGCTCCGATAGGTCACTATACATGTACAGCGAAACCACAACCTTCATTCAAGTGACACTCATGAACAAAGAACAGTCTAAGAATGAAGTACATCGTAACTATCTCTTCGCAGATATATGAACAGTCTTATCAAATGTCTTCTTCACTTGCATGTTTACTCATGAATTCATAGCTTTAGAGAATACTTGAGATTTGTGAGTACAATTGATGGCCGACACTTGTGATAAAATAAGCGAGTACAATTGATGGCCGACACTTGTGATAAAATTAGTGAGTACAATTGATGGCCGACACTTGTGATAAAATTAATGTCCTCTTAAGCAGGTGGTTGCATTCAAGACCATGCAGTTGTATATATATATATATATATATATCAACACATTTATTTATAGATTATACCTATAGGTATGTAGAATAAATATAGATCATTTCAGAACCATTGCAAAAATGTCCACACTAGATCACTCAAAAGAGTTACAACACAAACATTTAAACAGACAAGAACTTCCACTTTTGTGTACCCCAAGAAGCATGATTAACTTCAGGTTATGCGTGATGCTCTCTTTATTTTATTGCCTAGCAAAAGAGTGTCAAGAGGACATATAATAAACATGTTGAACTCTGTTCGTTTGTCTGTAAGTTGTAGACACAGTAGTGTAAAGACCATTTATCCTATCTTATTCAAATTTGGTATATGTACGATTGGCTGTTGCAAATCGGCTGGTTGGTTAATGTCACCAACGTCATTAGTGAAAGATATGATCTGTGGTAGGTGAACCTTTTTGTCATCACACTACACTGTTGACTGAATTTTGAAAATTATTTTGTTAAAATTAAACCTTATACAGGAGTCCATGTGTCAGGTTTCAAGGTCACCATCATTTTAATTTAGAAATACACTGATACCATGAAATTCATTATCAGAGAATGAAGTTGCTAGTGACATGTACCTGCCTCAGTATATATAGGTACTGTTGGTAAGATGCATCAGAAGGCTACAGACTGTTTCAACAGGAGGGGATCTGTATTGCTTGAGGTCCCTTGTTTATCTTTAAAAAAATCATCATTCATAATGCACTTGCAACGTCATGTACAAATTTCACTCAGAATAATTGTTTTGCAGAAGTTTTTTTTATTAATTTGATTTCGTAATCAATGAGCTGGAGGCTATCACAGATTTCCATATCCACACAAAGACTACTCTGCACACTCTTAAAGAGCACATAGAAACATTATTTCTCAAAGCAGCATAATCAATGAAACAGAGCAGTGTGATCCAAATCAAAGCATACAAAATGTATGCTACTGATCGGAGTTCCTTGAAAAGTAGAACCTGTTGTTTTTCACTTCTGAAAGGATTCATTGTTCCCCTCCTCATTCAAACACACAATTGGTCTTAACCTATTACATAGTTATTTGTTTTTTGTCGTTAACTTCCACACACACTCGCACATTTTGCCTGTGCTCAAACATTTGTTCCTGCACCCAACTAATCCACATCAATTAATGTGGGCATTAAGGTACAATATAAAGTAAAACTGTTTTATATTGGAGAGGATATCCCATAGTGATATATGACTGTACAGACACTAATACATTTTTTCCAATACAAGTTGTCAAGCAATACTCTATATAAACATTCCACAAATACACACCTTGCAAACACACACACACACACACAGATGAGCAGAATATATAATATATACATCATTCTCATATAAACAGCATTGTATTCATAACATGTAATGGTAATTAAACCCTCCTTATTTATCAAAACTGAAGTTCAACCTGATAAGAAAAAGAAGTCAATGATGTCATAACAGGCATTTAGTTTTAGCCATTTTGTGTCAACTAATAATTATTCCCTTATATTACTTCACATATAGTAATGAAGCCAGCACAAAAAAACACTTTTGTACAAACATTCTCACAAATGTATACATCATTCTCATTTTCATGTTAGTTCCATGTAACCATTAAAATCTGTAAAATCTCTTTCGTAACTTAATAAACTGAGGACACATTAACAATTTACAGGTAAACAAAATGTGCAACTATCATGTACTTCTACTTCTGAATCATGTTCAAGGGAGATAAATCTGACATAAATCTCCGATATATATGTGATAAACATAAACCTCAAAAGGAGACACCTATAATTCATTCTGATCCCAAAAACATGTGAAAAGTTATAATCAAAGAATTTGTGACCACATGAATACAAAAAAACTTCATGGTGTAAAGATAATGAAAGTAAAATACATTTTTCTTTTTATATATAAGACGCAATGAGTAAATGTTTGGAACACTTTACATTCCTGGTATAATAAACCCTCACAAAAATAGACATAATATACCTTGTGCACAATACTTGTAAGCAACAAGAAGAGTAATGCAATATTTTTAGGATATATTTTATCTCATCTTGTTACATTTTTCAATCTTTTGAGTTCAATAATTTCAAGACAAAAAATTTGAAACTTGTATCTATATTTACTTCATAATTCAAACTTTAACATGTATAAGCCCAGATCGTGTGTGCTTTAGTGATTGTCCCTTCCCCCTCATCCTCATTAAAAAATAAAACCTGACGTAATTAAGGCTTATATCTTGCAGCTTTACTTGATTCTGATTTTTTTTTTTTTTCAGGAACAGAGCAATCCATTTAAGCACCTTGACCCCGACATAAAACAACAACAAATTAGAGTAAATTCAGAAATGCATATTCAGTTTTGCTAACTTAAGTGTAAATCATTACATTGAATGAGATTACTGATAGTACTGCACTACTAAATATATAATTTCCTAAATGTTTCACAAATGTATTTGTGCACAGTCTAAGGGTAGATCATCCTGGATATCTCCCTTTATCACGACCAAGATGCAATAGGATATCCTTTCTGACTGGAGCCTGGACCAAGACTCACGTCAACACTCACGTCAAGCACTTTTGTCGTTAATATGTTACTGTTATAATATGTACAATACTGTTATCATATGTACAAATATCAATAAATTAATTCTTTCCAGTTGTATATCACCTCAGTATGAGAACATACACTGCCATCAAAGTACATATGATAGCCACAGGAATATGGAGTCGGGTTCCTATCACAGAAGCTGAAAAATCAACAAAATTTATTATTACAAGCATTTAACCTAATACTTTGACACAAAATATTCCCACTCAAAAGAAATCATCTGCTGTTGTAATTGAATAAGTTACATATTATGTACAAACAGAGCTTTAAGATATGAAATAAAAAAAGAGATCCCAGAGGGATCTTGGCGCCCACCATTGTTCCATCTTCATTAGTTCTTTGTCAGTTCAATCTTTTCTTTTCTTTCCTCTAATCTGTTTGATTGAGTCATGTTAACAGTAAATGCACCTTGAGATAACTTTTGATCTAAACTTAATACTGATGTGTAAGAAAGCCAACCTTCAAAGTGAGTTTGTCATTTCACATATTTACTAGTACAGTACTTAATGTAAAAAGAAATAGAATCGATCATTGCAATATAAGAAAGATCTGTTTAGTTCTTCCTTTAGCCATTTTGTTTTTATGATCAGTCTCAAAATATAACATGCACGACGAGGGATCAAGGGAAACCTACATATCAAATATGAGAAAGATCCCTCAAATTATTCCTGAGAAATAGTACTAACAAACCTTCAATGTCAAAAATCGAAGATGGCTGTCGGTAGGCCATTTTGTTTAACTTATCAGTTTCAAAAGTAAACATGAACAATAAAGGATAGTGGGGAACCTGCATTGGCTGGCCCAATAAAATGTTTTGGGGCGAGTACAAAATTTGAAGCACTGGCCCAAATGTTATTGGTGGCCCAAATAATTTTGGGAAGAAATATTTCCACAGCATTTAACACAATGCTTCAGCACATGACAATGCTTGTAATATGTAAAACAGAATAAAACATTATATTTTTAATTCTTCAACCCTAGTTAAAACCCGACATGTTTCCGAAAGAAATACACAAACCTCGCACCTCAAAGACACCCTGGCCGTATTTTATATAGAAAATATGAAATCAAGGACATGTCGCATAATTTCTTTTAATCATAAATTTTTCGACAGTCACCCAAACTTTTTTTGTTGGGCCAGTGACTACCTCACTTTTGGCAACTTTTGGTCGCTCGAGCAAGGCTTTAATCACCATTGGCGAGCTGGCGACCGTCCATTTCAGGCACTGCTGCACAACAAGGGAACAAGGGAAACCTACATATAAAATTTGAGAAAGATCCCTCTGGTACTTCTTGAGAAATACCGATAACAAGTATTGTTTACGGACAGACGGACCAGGGTGATTTGGATAGCCCATCATCTATGGTGGGCTAAAAAGCAATAAGATAATTGTAAATGATCCATTGATTATCGGCATGGTGTATTCAGATATGTAGTTTAATGAATGTTGAACTTCTAAAACCATGTTAAAATGGGCTTAATAGCAAAACTTAACCAAAAACATGAAAGTAGAAAATATAGGTCCTTCATTGGATATACTGCCTAAGTACTCAACGCAGATGCATACAAAGTTTGTCGAATGTTGAACTTGTAGTATTTGCATCAGAATAATAAAGCTGAATGCAGTCTAACGAAGATATACAGATCTTGATTAACAGAAAAAATAACTTAATGCCCATCCACTTTATTGCGTGGGCATAAAAACCCAATGATAATGGCTTTCACAAACACTGCAACAGTTTGTTATGACTATGTATATATACATATCATTTACTATGTAATGTACCTTTGTATAAAACTCCCATCAGGCCTTTCTTTTCGGAGAGAAACCATTGTTTAAGTCTTGGCACTCTTCTCATATAGGCACAGGTACAAACTACCAGTAGCCCAAAGATGATGATTCCCTCAAATGAATAAGCTGTAAAACAAAAATAACAAACACTTGTATTTGGATATTTTACTGCATGCACTTATGTAAAACAAATTACACTGATTGTATTACATGTATTTAGTTTGAGTAAAAGTATGGAATGAACCACCAGATGATGTTGTGTGTGCCCTTTGATGAACAGATTCAATATTAACTATGCATGTGGCTATATAAAATCTGTGAAATTATTAGAGGCTGACTTATGTGATATGATCATTTTTAAAACAGAAATTCATATGTTTACACATTTGATGTCTAAATATCTGCAGCTATTTTTAGCTTAAATTTAGCAAATACAAGTGATAGTGTGAACTCCGTGCAAGTTGTAATATTTACTTACTTTTTATATAAGTTATATTGCATAATTTTCCCGTGTCATTCGGAATCTAATTTGTCAACAGTCAAACTTGCTATCCTGTTTTGTATGTCACTTAAAAAGAATAGTTATGTGTGACAGATTTAAAGATGCACGTACGTCGTACACACCCTGCATTCCACATACATTCATGGTAAAATGCATGGCGACACTGTCAGACCGTACTCATTAGCTGTCAGTGACTGTTAAAGTTACATTAACGTGCATAATTCGTTATCACTTTAATGACGCTCACTATCTTACAACAGGCTCTGCCTGTTTACTAAATCATAAATAGGAATATAAGCCATATAATACCTACCATTCGTCATTTTGCTGTAACTTCAAGTAAATATTGGAAAGTTTCGTGTCACCCGGAAGCTTGACATAGTAGTGTAAAATTAAAGTAAGTGAAGGTTATTGAATCCGGAATATGACATTGAAGATCGAGAATTGTTTTGTTTTTTACTAAAATCACACACGGAACATAAGCTTATCTATTTTATTTCTACCAGTAAAATATAACTCCCAATTTTAGGTGTACATATAATGTAGCCCGAAATAACTGACCATCTTCTTTTAAATATTTTCTTTATGTCGCACCGAGCACAGGGACCTTAGAATTTGTTACAGCTGTATTTGGACCTAAACTAAGGTGTTCAGAGTAATTTTACATGTTTTAGTGGTTTAGATCGACTTTTGGTAAAAATGACACCCCAATGCTCGGTTATATGATCATTGGGGTGTCATTTTTACCGAAAGTCGATCTAAACCCCTAAAACCTCTCAGGTTTTTGTGGCACCGACTATACACACAAGGTAGGACATGCAATTAATGAAATAAATAAAAACATATGTCATGCTAAAAGTTTAAGTTTAAGTTAGTTTCCAACACAGGAGCCGATAGAGCTCCTCTACACTGGACTCAAAAATTAAACAATTGTATAATGTAAGGTCAAAATCATACATTTGCCCTATAGTTATAATAAAGTTCTTCATTCTGCCAAAGTTTATCTATTCTGTTCTTAAAAGTATTGATATTTGGAGCTGATACAACGTACTCCGGAAGATTGTTCCAGTTTTTGACAGTACGAAATGTGAAATAGTTTCTCCTCAGGGATGTTGTTGACTGTATGGGAATATTTTTTTCGAGTATCCTCTTGTACTATTTCTAACTGTTTCCTCATTTCAAAGCTTAACAAAAGTACATGCCTCTCTATCGTAAGTTCTGTTTACAATCTTGTACATTCCGATCGTGTCCCCTCGAAGTCTCTTATATATATGCTAGTGTTGGTAGATTCAATTCCCTTAATATTTCTGGATATTCCAACCCGGTAGATATTTCGTAGCGCGACGTTGTACGCTCTCCAGTTTGTCTACATATTTTAATTTGTACGGTGACCATACTGCTCCTGTTTATACCAACTGTGTCCTCACAAGACATTGAATAGTGGCACAAATGTTGCGAAGTCTTAAAGTTGGAATGATCTCCTAATAATGGTAAGCATCGAGTTTGCTTATTTAACCCTTGCGCTTATGTGGTCTTCAAAGTTTAACGATTTGTCAATGACAACTCCAATGTCTTTTTCCTTCACCGATGTTTCCAGGATTTTTTGTTATATATTGTATGATTTTGACATTTCATTCTTTGACTCCTTGGATCGTCCAATATGTATATATTTACATGTTCCTGGATGCACTGTGGTCATTACCAGTTCTTTATGGGGTAACTATAAGTGTTGATGATGTTCTGAAGTGGTCTGGTATGGAGTTCCAAATGTTTGTGCTTCTGGTCAAAAAGAGTATTTGATGTATTTTGTTGTCTTACCTTTGGTGTACCTGAGGTAATGTGATATAGTGCCCTGCAGGTAGGGTGTCATGATTGTACCTGATGTTCCTATCGCATGATCGTAAGAGGCGACTAAATTTGGGATCTTATATTTTCTCTTCTTTCTAAACAACCTCCTTCTTCCTAATGTCCTCCTTGGTAATGCATCACTTTTGGCCTCGCCCCTGTGAGGAAGGGTTTGTGTTCTGTCTCCTACCAGAGTCTGTAAAAATGGTAGTTTCTACTCCTGCTTAACGCTCAGCAGTTTAGGAGTGGGACGACTGGTTCGCCCGTTGTCAGTATAATTTGACCGGGTGGGGTGTCCTTCTGGATGTCTTCTGCAGTACGTTTAAGTGATGTAACACTATAAAGTCTGCATCAGTTCCGCGCTATCACAAGGAGACAAACACGAACATATCGCAGCCTCCCAAAAACACACACGCATACACTACACGCATGCATCTTGCACATAGGGGAGACCGTCCTTAAATGGCCATAGCTGTTGATGGAACGTTAAACAATACTAAACCAAACCAAGTAATGCGATATCGAAAAAGAGTATTTCTTTCATGTGATATTGATGAGCTTGTGTAGATACACGGGTGCTTAATTTGTTTGCTAGTGATTTTGTACGCTTCCAAAGCAACATTTCCGATGCATCTACTTTTGAGAGACGGTAATTTTGAACGGGCTAATACATTCTCATGTATAATTGTTGTCGTCATATCTTGATCTAAGTGCCCTCTCCTGTATTTTTTCCATTCTTTTTTTTTTTTCGTTCACAGAAGTACTAATTAAAAATGAGAAGACAGAAATTGGAAGTTAGAACAAAATTGAAAACTAAAATGATATGTTGTATGTACGTATTAGTGCGTTGAGTTGTTTGGATGCCTTTTTACATATACTTGCTACATATGGATGTGAAAAAGTTGGAAGTTTATTGCGAAGCTTAATAAGTTTTATTTCTGGTTCGCAGTTGATCGAACTTTTTCCTATATCAAATGTGATATATTTTCTTGTTGTGTCATTTTGTCTACTGCCATTGCTTGAAATGTATCTTGATTTGCCTGCATATAATCGTCTGCGAACCAATGTATAAGTATGTTCTGACAATGTCTAGTGAGGGATCATCTTCGCTGGCCAAAGGTTACGATCCGGTCTACCTACATGGTGAGGGGTGTGTTTTGCTGATTATTGTGTTGTGGTAGAAAGATGTCATTTAGAAATATGTCCAAACATATATGCCTTATATTGAGCCTTGGGGGACTCTCCTGTATATATTCAAGACATTGCTAGTACGGGTTTCTAGTTTTACAAATTGTTTTCTGTTGTAATGTGTTACAGAGTCATATATAGAGTCCGTACAAAGTGTAATCTTAATGACATAGAAGAGTTTCATTTTGTTTTAGTTTGCACAAGATATACAGATTTAAGACGGAAGTATTTAAAATGTTACTATAGAAATAACCCTAGTGTATATAAACTTGTTCAATTACTTAATACACCGAATATTAAAGAATTATGTAATCTTGGAAAGTATCTGATAGCGGCAAATAAGCGCCGATCAGATATATGACAGTTTGTATGTGTGTATTGTTCATTCTCCTGTGACCAATGTGGCTTTTTGTACATATGTAAATATCCAGTTTAATATATGTTTACACTGATAAGTCGCAAGACTTAAAGTTAATAAAGAACTAGAACTTGTATGCTTTGATTTTAGAAGAAATTTTGTGTGTCAATCAGCCCAAGGCCTGCAAAAGATCCAGTATTATGCAAGCAACATACTGGGCGGTTTTGGTCAAGTACCATATCATCCAATCGTCATCGACTCTAGATAAAAAAATTATATGCTTCTGCTACATATATGTGACACCCATATCCTGCTCTGAATAGTGAAAGACTCAGTCAAAGAGGTCAGTGAGTTAGGAATACATGGATCCCTCAAACACCTTGGATCACGCTGCCTAACACTCATATCCTGCTCTGAATACAGAGATATAAGGATGAAAGACAGTCAAAGAAGTCAGTGAGTTAGGAATACATGGATCTCTCATATACCTTGGATCACGCTATCTAACACTCATATCCTGCTCTGAATACAAAGATGTAAGGATGACAGACAGTCAAAGAAATCAGTGAGTTAGAAATACATTGATCTCTCAAACACCTAGGATCACGCTATCTAACACTCATATCCTGCTCTGAATACACAGATGTAAGGATGACAGACAGTCAAAGAAATCAGTGAGTTAGAAATACATTGATCTCTCAAACACCTAGGATCCCGCCATCTAACACTCATATCCTGCTCTGAATACAGAGATGTAAGGATGACAGAAACAGTCAAAGAAGTCAGTGAGTTAGGAATACATGGATCTCTCATATACCTTGGATCACGCTATCTAACACTCATATCCTGCTCTGAATACAGAGATGTAAGGATGACAGACACAGTCAAAGAAGTCAGTGAGTTAGGTATGCATGGATCTCTCAAACACCTAGGATCACGCTATCTAACACTCATATCCTGCTCTGAATACAGAGATGTAAGGATGACAGAAACAGTCAAAGAAGTCAGTGAGTTAGGTATACATGGGTCTCTCAAACACATTGGATCTCGCTATCTAACACTTATATCCTGCTCTGAATACAGAGATATAAGGATGACAGACACAGTCAAAGAAGTCAGTGAGTTAGGTATACATAGATCTCTCAAACACATTGGATCACGCCATCTAACACTCATCTCCTGCTCTGAATACAGAGATATAAGGATGAAAGTTACAGTCAAAAACGTCAGTGAGTTAGGAATACATGGATCTCTCAAACACCTTGGATCACGCTATCTAACACTCATATCCTGCTCTGAATACAGAGATATAAGGATGACAGACAGAGTCAAAGAAGTCAGTGAGTTAGAAATACATTGATCTCTCAAACACCTTGGATCACGCTATCTAACACTCATATCCTGCTCTGAATACAGAGATATAAGGATGACAGACACAGTCAAAGAAGTCAGTGAGTTAGGTATACATTGATCTCTCAAACACCTTGGATCACGCTATCTAACACTCATATCCTGCTCTGAATACAGAGATATAAGGATGAAAGACACAGTCAAAGAAGTCAGTGAGTAAGGTACACATTGATCTCTCAAACACCTAGGATCACGCTATCTAACACTCATATCCTGCTCTGAATACAGAGATATAAGGGTGAAAGACAGTCAAAGAAATCAGTGAGTTAGGAATATATGGATCTCTCAAATATCTCAGGCAGTTCTGGCAGTGTGTTACTGGCTCTGTAGTATCCTTTGTCAAGTGAACTGTTTTACTTATGAATTAGTCTGACCCGGGCACGTATTCATGAAATCATTACCATGCTTAAGCCTGGATTTTGTGCTAAAGTCTTGTTTTTTTGTCTCATGTATACATTAAAAATAAAATATTATTTCGTCAATGATTTGGCAAAAAATGAAGAGAATACTGTTTTCAATGTTATATTTGACTTTTTGATCTTTTGACATGATTAATGAGTTACAAGAAAGTTGGTTTGAGCACA